CACTCGCGGCGGCGGCGGCGGCCGGGAGCCCTTCGCGAAGAGCAGGGGCCCCGTCCCGCCGCCTGCCAGGCAGGGCGCGGCCCTCAGGGGACGCGGGAGGTAGGGAGCGCGGCGCCAAAACCCGCCCTGTACAGGGGCACCTCTGCAGTGAGTGACAGGAGTGTTTTGTATGAAATCCAGGATACATTTATTAAAGAAGTGCAGGGCTAGTTCGAATTAAGATACAGACCTCCCAAAGAGAACTTTGCTGCGTGTTCCAAAGAAACAAATTGTCCACCAAATGTTGAAGATCATATTTAAGCAAAACTCCTTTATGCTTCAATTACAGCTTCAGATAACTCGGGTTGATTGACTGATGGTTGGCAAAAAATAGCGTGTCCTGGGCAGCATATCAAAACCAGATGAAATCTTGGCCCCACTTAAGTTGGTAGCATAATGTGAACGGAAATGTATGTCATCAATTACAGTTGTAAAGCACGGGAGACAAGCATACCACTAATAAATGTAATTTTAATACTAGGCACGTGTTCGTGAGACATTCATTAGAACTGTGCTTTAGGAGAACGCACTTTGTTAACAGCAAAGGAGCTTTAGCCCGTGGCTAAGGCTGACGCAGGAGCTGTGGGAGCAGCGGCACGATGGACACACCACTCCTAAGGAGGTGCCAGAGCTGTGGGTGCTGCGCAAGCAGGAGGCAACTCCAGCAGCTCCAAAAGAGTTTGCTGCAACATGTGGTGCTGCTCCCGAACTCAAAAGTGGGCCATGGTCTTTCTGTGACCACATTTACTGTACATGCTTGCAGACAGCAGCAGCATTCTTGAGATTAAACTTGCAGATGTATCAGGTATCACAGGGTAGACTAAATACTTGAGAAAAGGAGCTATCAGTTTTATGAGTCTAATTAAATTTCCATTCCTTCCCAAGGGAAAATGCATTGGTTTTCAGCAGCTTTTAGACTATCAGCATAATCTGGGGTGCACTGCCCCATATGCTTCTCTAAAGAACTCCAAATATTTGCAGTTTCAACAGAGTTCAACAATTCTTTACGCTGTTTGGCTTCTCTAATGAATAAATTTTAATTAACTCCAAAAAATGTCAGTCCTATGGAGTACTTTTTTTTTTTTTTCTGTGCAACCTCTATATTCAACTTGCATTTGATTACAATAGACTAAAACCAAGACTGATATTATCTGAGCATCTTCTGTCCCAATCTGGAGATTGCTTATCAGATGTTTACATTAGCCTTATTTTATGTGATGATGACCCTGCACAGTGCTCAGTTTGCATATACAACTGTTTGACCTCCTCCACTTTGGTTAATAACCAAATATTTTCTAAGTATTTATTTGTTGCACCAGTCAGATTTCAGACAGATGTTCATCGCATTCCCCATTGGAAATATAAATAAATCATACAGGTAGGGTACAATATGCTCTCTTAAAATGATGCCTAAAACACTGACAAAACTAATGCTATCTACTAATGACTAAACCCAAAGTTAACTAATGAGAGGCATGATGTACTAGCTAGACATACAACATAGCCAAGTAACACCTGCCAATTTGACTTAAGGGTATTTTTCTTTTACGTCAAGTAATTAATCTAATATTGCTGAATAGAATTCATGTCTGGGATGCCAAGCAACTCTTCAGAAGTTCACATAGACCATTGTGATGTCACAGCAGAGAGAGCGAAAGCACTCAAAACACTGAGTAACAGCAGGAGTCGGGAAGTGGAGTGTTTCCCAGCAGAACTCTATAAAAAAAAAAGAGATCAATTTGGTAAACCCAATTCAAAATAGTTCTATTTGTTGCTATTATAAAAGTATAGAAAGTTTCAGAGAAATATTTTCCCTGTTAGCCCCTTCTATTATGTAGACACGTCTATGTTAAAATATCATGTGCCACACCTATAGTACACATAAATCCAGTTTTCAAATGATAGGCAGGATCAAAAGTACTTATGTGGTCCCACTTTTCCTAATTTCTGTTGATATTATTCCCATTTATTATGTTGCACATGTATTCTACAAACATTTATTCAGATACAGGAAATCTGAGAGCTACCTCACAGCATAAACAATACTTCCAGTTTTCTAGAATATGTATAGGAAGAAACCAGTAGAAACTACAAAGAGGAAGAGTGCTTACCACTTGACTGCCACCTGAGGAAGGTGAATTCTGAAAACAAACAAACAAATAAATCTAGATGTGTTCCCACCTAATGGTTTTGAACACAGTTTTGCCCATGATCAACAACATTTTACTAGCTTAACCCACAGCATGGGTTTAAGTCATTCAAGAAGAAAGTAGCTTTTCATGGATAAAATAAATAGTTTTAGTTGCACACTATATCTCATATCTGAAAATTTCAGCTAAAATTGATGAAAGGGCAAAAGTATATTTTTCTCTCATTCCAATATCATATTCCACACTGAGTTTTCCATCTCTGTAGTTGAAAGAGGATGTTAAAAAATGAGTACTGAAAAAAAGAAAGTGCAAAACCAGGTAACCTGCCAGTGGAAAACTCAACAATCTAGTTTATAAAAAAAAAAAAAAAAAACCTATAAAATCTACACAGAGAACAGGAATTCAAAATAGAGGTCAGCAAAATGTAACAAGGCCACTAACTGGAATGTGAAGCAAGACAGATATAGATTTAAAATATAACTGATACTGAAATAGGTTTTCCAGCCTGTATTTTCCACCACAGTTTCTTTAAATATACTCTAATACAAATGGAACTAATACAGAACGTTCTCTTCAGACCAAATCATCATGAAATTGCTCTATCAACCACTCAGGTTCTTTGTTTACTACAAAAAGAAGATGAAAACACTCTTATGAAAGTACTCTTACCGGTCTCCCAGAGTAAGTGCTTCCTGAGGTAGAGGAGCCCTGTAAAACAATCACAAATCATTTATTTTTGTTGTACAAAACTCCTGGTAAATTGTGTCCAAAGAGCATGCAGCAGTCTTGAAGGTGCCCTAGATATCAGCAATTTTGATACTGACTTTTACTTTTTTCCTTGCACTTTTTTTCCCTATTTCAATTGAATGGACGCAACCAAGCACAGCTACATCCTCTTTATTCCATGAACAGTTTCAGAGGATTTTCAAAGCCAATGTGTCATCGACTGAACTATCAACTTTGAAAATGAAACAGTTATCCTGATATTTAAATACATCATTCATAATAGAATGATCCAAGCATGTTCTTATGAGTAAGTAACAGAGTGTATCAACACTTTGCTACAGAAGGAATGAATGCTGCCTCATCCTAAGGTTCAAGTTTGAACAAAACATTCCAATTTTTATTGGTCAGTTTTCTCAGACATTTACTATTGTAACATAATTTTAAATTCCACCCTTATTATTGTTACCCATTTCAAACCCCAATATTCCTAACTTGGTTGTGGAATACTGAAAGAAGATTTATCCTTACTGGCTTTCCTTGATGACCACCTCCTGAGGAAGATGAACCCTGAAAAAAAGATACCTGTTTTCAACTCTAAGCCTACTTGTACTTCAGTATATTCTTCCTATCTGGCATAAAGGACTACAGTCATTCAAAAACCCCAAGGAAAGGCTTATCTGAAATTCAAATATTTGACATCTTTCTGTTACAGGCATTCTTTTGAATGATGTATTAGTCAGATAATATAATGCAAAGTTCTCAAGAAGAAAGAGCTGTTTTGTAGTTATGATGTGTTTAATATATAGAAAGTAAAAAATAATAAGGTGCAATTAAACATGAATTCACCTGGAATCAGTTACAGTTAGATTGGGTGAAAAAACAAAAGGTAAATGTTAGAGTCCTTTACTATACAGCCCTACCTGAAGAAAGCTCTAATAAGGAAGGTAACTGAAAATATAAGTGGATACTGAAATGTTCTACTAGAGTCTTACTCAGTTTTCTGGCAAAGTTGCTCTGCTTATTTAAATGACATTGCCCACAGGGAATCTTACAAGCATTGACTCTTTAAAAAATGCCATCAAATATGGTACACAAAATATCTCACCTCTGATTCATGTATAAGAAAATCTTACATTTGTGCCCACTTTTTAGTAACAGGTGGATCCATCTCATTTTCTATAATAGATAAGCTAAAACACTGTATGTGCTTATTTGTATCTCCTGCCATTGAATTACATAGCAAAAAAAGTGAAGTGGGAGAAAATGAAAATATGCACAGTCAAATGTCAACTATTATTTCTTTTAAAAAAAGAAAGTATTTTCTTCAAAGCAACCCAGACATACTTAAGGCAAATGCATATAAAATCAATTAAAAAGTGAGCCCTGAGCATCAAGTATATGATTACTATGAATTTAAATAGAAATAAACTGTTCAGAAGTCCCTTATGAAAAATAATTTTTAAAAAATCCAGTAATCACATTGATTACTAGAACTAATGTGATTACTAGAACTAACCCAGATATTGATTAGAAGTTCAGTTACAGAGTAAAATACTGGCTCAAAACTACTGAATTGTGTGAAAATATATATTGTGTTTGCATTTGTTGAGATTGTCCCAGATACATAAATCATGTGACACACTGCATATCTAAGTAATTGTCAGAAAAATGTCTAGTCCATAACTAACTTGATATGATTTTTTTAACAGGCTTATAAGAAAAAGTAAACTTGAAATTTTGTTACTTACTGGTTTACCATCTTGTCTGCCTCCAGAAGAATATGAGCCCTGTAAGAAGTCAATCATACATCTATTAATTGAATGAAAAAAATCTATCACTGTCTTGAGACAATTTGTGCAGTACTTAGGACAAACTTATTTGGATGTTGTTTGAACAAAAAGTTTCTGGGGTACCTAAAACTTAAGCTATGTACTGCATACAAAACAACAGCAATTTGTTATTCTGAATCAAGAAAGCAGTGTTATGAAATACAGTATAGCAATTACAGTATGTTCAAAGGGACGTTTTACACAGAGCAGTAATTCATTGTAGTCAATTCTTGTATTCAGCTTCCTGAAATTATTTTAATCAGCTTACCTCGACCATTTAATCTCAGTAAAATGGCCAAATGAATGTGACTTTCAGCATCAAGTAATTGACTGGATCCAGACAGTACAGGGAAAGAGTGAGGAGTGATGGGATGGAAAGAGAATATACTCACCTGCCCACCATATGGTCTGCCTCCTGAGGGAGAAGATCCCTATTAAAAAAAACATAGGAAACTTAAGTGTTGGCAGAATAACAGCAGTTACTCTTTTTTGTTTGTTTGTTTTGGTTTGGTGTTTTTTTTTTTTTTTTTTGGCTGTGCAGAATGAAACATCACAGAAGGACCTTCTGATAGGAAATCTCAGTAGGAGTCTGGCAAGTATATTAACCTGAAAAGATGCAGTGAAAGACTTCTGATTTAATTCCTCTATGTTCCTTAACAAAAGTAGTAAATTTGGCAAACAGTCACAAAACATCAGCTAACACCACTCTCTGACATAAATATATGGTTATAAAGTCTTTAAGTATGTCTGCATTCAGGAGAAAAAAAAAAATCTACTTTATTTGTGATTCTCTGCTAGGTCAAACATGTTCAGCAAGCATCATGTATTAAGGTAAGAGCATCCTTATTATTCCAAATAAGTAATCTGGGAAAACTTTGTTTTGCAGCTTTTGAAAAATCCTCTCCATGCTGCAAGACTCAAATGTTTGCCAGTGGAATAAAAACAAATTAAATTATTTTCTAGTATAGCAGAGTGAAGCATTGTGAACAGAGAAATACTAATGAAAAATATGTTCCACCTTCTTATTAGCTACCCATTCATTACCTCTGTTAACTGTTTAGGCTAGTAAGATTTCTCAATTTGTCATAAACTACTAAGTCTACAAAAGGTACATAGGGAGCTGCTTACAGTAAGAGACTCGAATTGCAGCTGAAGATGAGGAAATTATTATTGTGGGTAACACACCAGAATTTATATTTTCGAAGCACTATTGGTATACTATTGGTATATTTTGCACCAAATTTCCAAGTATTAAAACAATGCAAAAAAAAGAAAAAAAAAATAATTTCAATATAACTGAAAAATATCACAGAAAACAGATTTTGAACTAGTGTCATAGTAGTGTGAAACTGAAACATAAAAGATAGTTAATTAAAATTATCACATGATTTAAGAGGCATTCTGAGGTAAAACAACTCAAATTATGATCTATGCAGTTTCTTTAAATTCAAGTTTTTTCATGCTACTCCATTTCAGTTACTGAGAAACTGTCCGTGTTTTCAGATACTTACTGACAGTAAAAGGACTCTGAAAAACTGATTGGCAGTACATGCACTGCATCATATTTTTCATTTAATAAATAGTAAGTAGGAAGAAGATCTTAAAAAAAGAAAAGTTGCTTGCCTGTCCACCATACTGACTGCTTCCAGAATATGATGAACCCTGTAAAAAGAATGTGAAACTTTTGTAAATAATTTTTTAAAATAGTAACCGCCATCAAAAAACCCTGGACCTAATCTAAACAATACACATGACATGAATTAACTGGAAAACCTTTACACAGTCATCAATGCAGTGGCAAATGGCTACTTATCCGCTCATCATATTAGTGATTTAGGCAATGAGATGAACCCTGTGAATTATTCTTCATTATTTTTTTGAGGTAAGAAAGCTTTATAATTACAAAGTAAAATCTTGGCTCTAGCATATAGAAAGACAGAACTGAAATGTCAAGAGCGATTCAGTGAGAGCAACATGCACTCTCTGGAATTATTATCCCTATCTCTGTGATAAACTGAACTCAATATTTAATGACTTCTGGGCAAATATGGCATCTGAATCATGTCTATTCCTGAGAAACTAAGCTCTGTAAATGTTACAGAAAAAAATGCCTACCTGTCCACCATGATAGCCGTTTCCTCCAAAATAACCCTGTATTCAACAAAAATAGCAATGTTTACTCTGTATTGAATTCAATATCATGTAAAGGAAAAACAAGAGAACATCTTAACCTATTGCAATAATTAAATCATTTACACTGATTACTGGTATACTTTTCTGTTTGGTTGATTAAACAAGGAAAGGACTTAGTTTTGATTCATCCTTATTCCTTCAGATTATCTGTTTGCAAAGCGAAGTAAACTGATAATTTATACATTGTTTTCAGCACTTCTGATTCTCAGAAGTGGCATATATACCATGAATGGTACACTTATACCATGTGGGTTTTCCTTGATTTCATAATCTCAGAAAGAGAAGTAGTCATCTAAGCAATTTTGAGTATTCTGAGATGGAAGATGACAGAACCCTCCCTCAGAAACAAATTAGCCTAATTTCAGAAAAACAGTGGATTTTCTGCCTTTTTTTTTTTTTTTAAAAAAAAAAAAAAGACAGAAAAATGGAAACAGCCTTAACTTTTTAAATGTGTTGCTCTGTTTCCACATGTAAGCATTTTGGACCCAGATTTTACATCTAACTAGATTTCACTAGTTCAATCATACTGTTAATAACCATCATAGAAAGAGCACTATTACACAGACATATCCAAAACCAAGCAGATACACTATGAGAAATTTGGGAATCAGATTCTTAGAAAAGTTCCAGGCCTCTCATATACCAAAAGAAAGTAAATACTTTGAAGCCATTTTTCATGTCTGAATATCTTATAGAATCAGCACTAGTCTTCCTTGAATACATATACTGGAGAACATTACTACTTGTTTAATCCAGGGTGGGGAAAGTGCAATTCATTTCCCATGTATTTCTTTGAAATAGAAATGCATCTGGGTAGTTAGTTTCAAATACAATACTACAGTTGCAAATTACTTAATATTTTTGTTCCTTAACAGGTTCAAAATTTCTCATGTTAGTACAATGTGAAAAACACTTTCATCTTCACAGAAAATTATTTCAAGAAATGTAGTTCCTTGAAAATTTCCCAGTATGTGTACATACTATGAAAAATATATGAAGAGAAAGAATACTTACTGAACTTCCACCAGGACACACACATCCACCCTGTATAAAACACAAACAAACTTATTTCCTGAGTCTAGGACTGGAAGAGGCCTCTGAATTTGTAAATCAAACTCACATTTTGCTACTGCAAGAAAACAAACTATAAAATAGATTTACCAAGCTCCAGCTAAGAAGTAGTTTCTTTCTCCAGTGTACTTTCAGGCTATCTGTGCATTTACAGAACAATTTTTTAAAATACAGTCTTCTAATTTCTCATTTAAAACTTACAGTAAAAACCTTACTCACCAAAAAGACAAGTGAAAACTTCTGAGTAGTACTACAGAAAATATTTTGGGTGATTTTTTTTTTTTTTTTTTCTAGAGGGGCCAATGCACCTGGAATACATGGAGCACTCTTTCATGCTACGGACATTACAGAAAACACTAAAGATGACTTCCAGTGGGGGCCTACTAGGTGAGTTCCTCTCTGATAAAAGTATCAGAGGTGGCCAGGGGTTAACCATTCAGTGTCTTACTTTCCACATTCAATCTGCATGAAATGTGTAAGAAGAAAAATGTTTAGCACCAAAGCAGGTACAGAAGCTCAAATACAACTGCCATTCAGACAGTTACTACTGCTACTCTGGCCTGCAGGATATGTCTGAATCACATGGGAAAAGAAAATAATGTGTTGCTGAGGCTTTGGACAAAAAGGACAGTGGTGAAGGAAAACAGTTCTTATGAAGGAAAGATATGCAAAGTAAATTAAATTGTGAGTGCCTGACACTAGCACAGCTGAACAGTGTGGAGAACGAAAAGCATACCTGTCCACCAGACTGGCTGCCTCCTGAAGAATAGCCCTGGAAAAAAATGAGTAACTAATTACTTCAGTGTTACTGAGTAATATTCTTACTTGCTCTCTGTGGTCCTTACTCTTTGAAATTGCTTCTGTTTAAACATAACAACAAATATGGGCTTCTTAGAGCCACAATCTGTTTAAAGTACATTTCCATGCAGTCACACAGGCCCCTTTATCATTGCTTGTGTCATGGTCTGACATCCAGACAAACCCATACTTAGCAACCCTCACTCAGTTTGGTGTAAAGCTATTCTTTCTTAGAATGTTCCTTTTTTGCAAAACATGTGGGTCATTTTTACTAATGAACTGTGTGACAAACCTGCAAATACTATGAAAGTAGAAGTTTTACCTGTCCGCTATACTGGCTGCTTCCTGAAGAAGCCATACCCTAGAGAAATAAGAAAGCATTTATATTTGTGCACATTCTGTAACTTATGACCCATCACAATAAAACCACACTTTTGCTTGTCTTCTATGGATTTAAGTGTCACAGGAATGCAAACACTTCCTTTATAACCACACTGAAATCTATTGGACTTTACAATGGCTACTGTTTAAACACAACAATATTGTTTAAATCAAACTCAGCTCCAGGCAGGTGTGACTAGTGCTGTTCCACTGGACTGTGTGCTCACAGCAGCCTCCTTTGTTTTACATTCCCGAGTGGGCTGACACAGCAGAAGGTCATATATTCATTTATTCTGCCTAAACACTGTTTTGCTGTAAGCAAAACCCCTTTATAAAGGGAGAGAAAAGTGAATGATGGAAAGAAAAACCCATAAATAGAAAACCAGTTCTCACCTGTCCTCCATGATGGCTGCCACCTGAGAAAGATGGACCCTGAAGCAAAGGTGCCAATTATTTCTCTATCAATAAGCTTCTTTAAGGGTTTTTGAAATAAGGACTATTACATTTCTCTATTGTACAATGAAAAGTTACAGAAAGATAAACACTCAACGTATTCCATATGTTCTATGCAATTTAGGGATGGTCTGTAACATACGAATCTTCCATAATACTGATCATGAGCTATTAGGATTATATATCTAGTTTCAGGAGACTGTATTTGGACTGAAAAATCTCTTTCTCCTCTAATTCCCTCTCCAATAAATCTGACAATAAATATTTTCAGAGGCCAAGGACAAGCATGTTGAGAATTTCACTCCATATTAAAGGCTATATCACTAGGCAGCACTAGGAACCCTATCCATCATCTTTCATTTCAGGTGTGGAACACCTCTTAAAAATTCTTGACCTTCTCTCCTATTCCTCTCCCAAGACATACTGCTTCTCTGTTACTGCATTTTCACAGAATCACAGAATCAGCTAGGTTGGAAAAGACCTTGAGGATCATCCAGTCCAACCACTGACCTAACATTGACAGTTCTCATCTACACCATATCCCTCAGCACTATGTCGACTCTACTCTTAAACATCTCCAGGGATGGGGACTCCCACCACCTCCCTGGGAAGCCCATTCCAATGCCTAACAACCTGTTCTGTAATGAAATGCTTCCTCATATCTAGTCTAAACCTTCCCTGGCACAACTTGAGGCCATTATCTCTTGTCCTATCGCTTGTTAATTGGTTAAGGAGACTCAAACCCAGCTCTCTGCATCCTCCTTTCAGGTGGCTGTAGAGGGTGATGAGGTCTCCCCTCAGCCTCCTCTTCTCCAGACTAAACACCCCCAGTTCCCTCAGCCGCTCCCCGTACGACCTGTGCTCCAGACCCTGCACCAGCTCCGTTGCCCTTCTCTGGACACGCTCGAGTCATTCAATGTCCTTTTTGTAGTGAGGGGCCCAAAACTGAACACAGGAATCGAGGTGCAGCCTCACCAGTGCCGAGTACAGGGGTCAGATCCCTTCCCTGTCCCTGCTGGCCACGCTATTGCTGACACAAGCCAGGATGCCACTGGCCTTCTTGGCCACCTGAGCACACTGCTGGCTCCTGTTCAGCCGGCTGTCAATCAACACCCCCAGGTCCCTCTCTGACTGGCAGCTCTCCAGCCACTCCTCCCCAAGCCTGTAGCGCTGCTGGGGGTTGTTGTGGCCCAAGGGCAGCCCCCGGCATTTGGCCTTATGGAAACTCCTGCAGTTGGCCTCAGCCCATGGCTCCAGCCTGTCCAGGTCTCTCTGCAGAGCCTCCCTGCCCTCGAGCAGATCAACACTCCCACCCAACTTGGTGTCATCTGCAAACTGACTGAGGGTGCACTCGATCCCCTCGTCTAGATCATCAATAAAGATGTTAAACAGGAGTGGCCCCAAAACTGAGCCCTGGGGGACACCACTTGTGACCAGTCATCAACCAGGTTTAACTCCGTTCACCACAACTCTTTGGGCCCGGCCACCCAGCCAGTTTTTTACCCAGCAAAGTGTGCTATCATCCAAGCCTCGAGCAGTCAGTTTTGCCAGGAGAATACTGTGGGAAACAATGCCAAAGGCCTTGCTAACATCAAGGTAAACTGCATCCACAGACTTTCCCTCATCCAATAAGCAGGTTTCCCTGTTGTAGAAGGAGATCAGGTTTATGAGGCAGGACCTGCCTATCATAAACCCATGCTGACTAGGCCTGATCCCCTGGTTGTCCATTATATGACTTTTAATGGCACTCGAGATGACCTGTTCCATGACCTTCCCTGGCACCAAGGTCAAACTGACAGGTCTATAGTTTCCTGGATTGTCCTTTCTGCCTTTCTTGTAGATGGGTATCACATTTGCCACCCTCCAGTCCAATGGGACCTTCCCAGTTAGCCATTTTGCTAAAGGAAATGAGGTATTCCATAGGTTGAAGTAGAAGAGGAATGCAATCTGCTTCCAGCCCCTCCTTACTGTTAGAGCTAAGAAACCATGATAGCAGCAGAAGGAAAATGGGTCCAGAATGAAGAGGGCAGGTCAGAGGGTAGAATGAGCCCAGAACTGCATTTACTGTGATACAATGGAAGTACCAGCCATTCTTAGTTTTTGTATTGTTTCAGATCATACATATCTAGATACCTGATCATCTATTATCCGATTAACAGAGTTTACTCAAAATTCTACTAAAAGTACCAAGTTTTGATGTAGAAGCTGGGTGTTAGTATAAGAACTACACAGGAAGAGTTTCTCACCTGTCCTCCATACTGGCTGCCTCCTGAAGAAGGTGAACCCTGTACAAAAAGAATTAAATTATCTCTATATCCATGTCATAGTACTCCTTTAAACCATGCTCCATATGAAGGAGAGGTACCTAATTTCCTTCAGTGCAAAACTTTGAGTGGACTGAACCAGACAGTGCAAAAAAAGGAATGAGACTCACTGCATTTACCATGATGCATCAGAAATTACATCTCCTAAAAACTCTCCTGTGTTTTTGTATCACATACATTTATAACTACTACATACCTAGTAACAAATTAAATAATACATGAAAAAAACCCAATCTCCTTAAAATGTTCTTTTACACAGAAAACTACCAAGTCTCTTGGATAAAGTAGTAAACACTACAAGGGAAGAATTCTCACCTGTGCACCGTACTGGCTGCCTCCTGAGGAAGGTGAACCCTGAATGTGAACAAAAAAGGAAACAAACTTCTTTACACCAATTTAATAGAATTATAGAATCATTTCACAAGGCTTTTAAGAATTTTGGTCAGCTTCATGAAATACTAATTTATTTCAGAAATACATGACCTCTAGTCTTACAAATTTCAGGAGTCAACAATGTATTTCACATTCTATTTTTTTCTTAGCCTTAAATAATGGTCTTAATCTGAACTTTTTTAGTTTAATCACAGTAGCACCAGATAACTACAGAGAAAGATTTACTGAGAAGATTTTAGACTAAAGTAAATAAAGCTAAGGTAGACAGCTGGGAGGAAAATGAATAAACTACAAGTCTGCATAGGTCAAAACTACAAAAGTGGGGACTATTAATGCTTACTTGTCCACCGTAATGGCTGCCTCCATAAGAAGATGGCCCCTGGGAAAATATTGAAAATCAGTTATTTCTGAATATCTAATTCAGGGAGATGAGCAGCAAAGACATCTGTATTTTGTTATTTGACTGTTTGTAATCTTCCCAGAATAAACTCTTTATTTTTGTCTTCCTTGAATTCACAATCTTACTTCAGAGAATAGATCACTAAAAAGTTTCTTGAAATATTAAAATAAGATACCTATCTGGATAATCCTTTACTTAGTAAGAGTCAATAATGGTAAAACAAATATATCAAATAATATATTAAAACTAAGAGCTTACCTGTCCACCATACTGGCTAGCTCCAGAGGAATATGAATTCTGTAAAGAATACCAAGTAAGTGAATTATCTGCTGTAGGATTTCCTTAAATCAAGGCCTAACTATCTCAAGACAATAGGAGTAAGAGAGCAAGATAAGAGTGAGGGCAGGTGAGCAGTACTTTCGGTATGCTTTAATAACTAGTGTTCAAGCTTTATAAGGTAACTTCTGGAAATACCCGAGTTCCTAAGCAAGGGTGGAAGGCAAAAAAGCCTACTGCTTTGTTTGTGTGACTTGTTGGGAAGATTAAAGCAACATTCTTTCAAGTTTTTTTCCTCTGCTCATTTCTGGAGAATGGCATTTCATTATTTGGAAAGCTGAGTCCTGGGCCAAAGCTAGCAGAAAAAGACTGGCTACCTAACAGGACTCTGAAAACCAAACTAAGCAAGTTTACTGAAATCTCATACAACAAGAGGTCTGTTTAAAGAGGGGGAATTGGAGTTGGTTTTCTTCTCAGTGGAATTAGATCCATAAGGAATCAAAAATGCTTTTCCCACACCTATTTTTTGTGTGAGCTTCATTATGCAAGTCTCACAAAAACAAGAGCACTTTTTGCTAAAAAAGCCATAGTGTATAACTTTTAGGACATAATCTCAATGATTAATTTAATTTAATGAGTTTTTGCTCTTTAAACATAGCTCCCATATGAAAACTGAATTTAAGTGAGTTCATGAATGACCATCATTTTCAGAAGTGGCAAGCTCGCTGGCTTTCTTTTTGGAGTGAGTGCTTACTTGGCTACTGTACTGGCTACCTCCAGAAGATGATGAGCCCTGGGAAGGAAAAAAAAAAAAAACGAAACCAGTTATTTTTCTCTAACAGAACTATTTTAAAGCAAAACTTCTTGAAGGATAGCAGTGTATAAATTTCTATTTTAAACTTTTTTGGTTGGGTTTAAAATCCACTCAAAATCTAAAATCTAGCCTTTCCTTCTTTGTTAATACATCGAAACTTTAGTGTGTATCTGTCCACTGGAATGGCTGCCTCCAGAGTCTTTTCAGAAAGGAAATACCAATTATTTCACTTCAAAGGATCTGACTGATCTTATTTTTTTCTGTTTAAAATCAGCACACTGAAGAATGACATCCCTACAAAAAGCTTTTAATAGTCATTCTTGCAGAGTACTACAGAGCTTTTGAGCACTTTGACCTTCCACAAGATCTGCTAAGCTCATAAAGAAATGAAACGGTTTTGTGTTTAGTATATAATGTTAATCATCTATCAGTATGCAAAAGCCATTCTCCCATGCTGAGGTACTGGGTGCATCTACACATTAAAGCACACATCAGGAGTGTATCTTTGAGACAAAACTACTGATAGTCCCCACTCACTGTAGTTTGCTTTGCACCATGGAGTGGTCTTGGAGTGAATTAATTTGATGCTTTTCAGATTAAACTAAATTGTAGTGTGCTCTCTAGGGTCACACTTAATGCATTCAGGTAGTAAATGGACTTTTGGTCCATTGAACCAGACCAGAGCAAACTGTTCCTGAAATGTGTATAGTGTGGACATCAGTTCATCAGCACAAATTGTGAAACAATCCCAGCAGTTTGCAGCACTTGTCGATACAGACCCAACCACTATGTTCCCTCAATCTTTATACACAATCCCTCATTCCAAACTGTAGTCCAAACATGGCCAAGTAGTAAAAAACAAACAAACAAAAAAATCAATCCAAATCGGAAGTTTCAAAGGAAACAAATCCCAACATCAATAATATGAAGGATGTAGAACACAGGTGGGTAAGAATATTTTCCTCACTGTAGATATATACACATTCCTCCTTCCTAAAAGGGAGCACCAAACCAGTCCTATTTATCACGTAATATTAATTGTGGAATGGTACATTTAGGTAGCTGTGCCCAAGCCAGCTTTATATCAGCAGTCTGGTAAGAATGCCACAGAGTTCTGTGCTAGATACAAGAAGACACAAATGTTTTTTCGCCTTCAGTGCAGCACATACAGAGCTCTGGTGACATACACTGCATGACTTGCTAACACATAATGAACAGAACTTGTCTTGAGATTGCTGTAAACAGGTCTTTACTGCAAAAGAGTTCTTATCCATATGAGAGGGCTAGCATCATTAAATTACTGACCTATGAATACTAACTTTTCTTGTAGTAAATTATCTAAGAGGAATACAAACACATAAATTCATGTCCTTAGAGGATATTTTGACATAATTCTAAAGAACCCAATGGAACTAACTCCTGAAGTAAATATTTATATTGTTATGTACTGCATTTGTGTCAAACAACATTTTTCATTCATTGAATAATTACTATTTCAAATGGAAAGAGAAACTATGAGTGCTGCATGAATGTACTGTGTGTATTTTTAATTATAACTAAGGTAGGTTATTTTCACAAGCCTATGACTTCTATTAGGTACTGATCTTTTTAACCTCTCTAGCCATTATCTTGACAAAACAAACACAGGTCACACTTAAGCTGATGAACATTGCTTACATTTGCAGAGGAATCACTTCTGACTAAGGTAGGGGATCCACCCTATAAATGGGGAAAAAAAAAAAAAAAAAAGAAAAATTAGCCTTTGTCTTTGATCATAAACTAAAAATGAAATGAAACCTTAGAATGCCTGTTCTATGGTATTTTAAAGGAAGAACATCACAGTCTGAAATGAAATTACACTTACATTTCACTTTTCTTAATTTGTCAAGATAGTAAATAGTCTTTTTCTGCCTGGAAGATGATAAATCACAAAGTTTCATTTTGTATCTACCCATGACTAATTGCCTAGAAAATAAGAACACTACTCATGGTGCAGAAATGTCCTTTGCATACTACATGTTGATTGACCACATATGATTTGCTTTGGAAAGCATGTATTTCCTATTTCACAGTCTTTAAATAATTCCATATGGACTTAAATGCAAAAATGAGAAGTGGCTCAGTTTGTTTGTTTGTTTTTAATTTGGTAAACATTGATTTCTAAGACAATTTTTCATGGTTGGCAGTTTTGTAGAATTGATATTATTTTACCTGCCTTTCATGATAGGTCTTCTGTCAATTAATTCTACATTTAATGCAAGATTTTTTAATTTTTTTTTTTTCCAGAAGAGATACACATCTCTGTAAACACTGTATGGTAACTGAAAGTCACTGCTCAGAGAAAAGGGGTTCCTGGCTTGTGTCAGAAATAGTGTGGTCAACGGGACTAGTGAAGTGTTTGTCCCCCTGTACTCAACACTGGTGAGGCCACACCTCAAATACTGCATCCAGTTTGGGGCCCCTCACTACAAGAAGGACATTGAGGTGCTGAAGTGTGTCAAAAGAAGGGCAACAAAGGTGGTGAAAAGTCTATAGCACAAGTCTTATGAGGAACAGCTGATGGAACAGGAGTCATTAAGCCTGGAGAAAAGGAGGCTCGGGGAAACCTCATTGCTCTCTACAGCTACCTGAAAGGAGGTTGTAGCAAGGTGGGTGTTGGTCTCTTCTCACAGGTAATAAGTGATAGGATGAAAGGAAAGGGCCTCAAGTTGCACCAGGGGAGGTTTAGACTGGAGATTAGGAAAAATTTCTTCACTGAAAGGATTATCAAGCACTGGAATACACTGCCTCCAGGGAAGTGGTTGAGTCACCATCCCTGGAGGTATTTAAAAGACCTCTAGATGTGGCACTTAGGGACATGGTTTAGTGGTGGACTTGGCAGTGTTAGATTTATGGTTGGACTTCATGATCTTAACGGTCTTTTCCAATTTAAATGATTCTATGATTCTGAACTTTTCATCTTGGCATAATGAAAAATAATTCCAACTGTGCCAGTAATATGTCAGTCATCGAAGGAACAATGAACATAAAATTAAGAGTACATTCAAATAAATTAGTTAGAAATAAGTAGGACCACAGATAATTTTCCAGTTAAATAATTTAGTAAAATAAAATGTATAATGAAAAAATAACACTTACAGAACTTCCTCCAGAACAGTCACATCCACCCTGTAAAGTATGCAGAAAATATTTAAAATAACAAGAGTACAGGAATGAAAGGGACTTCAGTTAAAACTCAAATTACTACTACTACCATCACAGGTATGCAAGCTTGTTACATTCATAACTGTTAAGGTTGCATTCATAACTGCGCAAGTCCCCAGCTTCTATAAATTAGTCTATTTTTTGTTCTCTTCATCCTATGCAACTATTCCTGCACTTATTGCTCTGATGGGGCAAAAAACTTCTAGTTTTGTTATCTTCAAATTTGTTATCTATGATTTTTACCTTAAAAACCTTACTCACCAAAAGGATGGGTAAAAAATTCTGAGTAGTACTAATGAAAGCCATTTTTTTTTCCCCTTAGAGAGGTATTCCTCTTTCATGCTACAGCTGTTACAGAAAACAGATGATTTCTAATCTGATAAAAGTATCAGAGGTGGCCATTCAGTGTCTTACTTTCCACATTCAATCTGCATAAAATGTGTAAGAAGAAAAATGTTTAGCACCAAAGCAGGTACAGAAGCTCAAATACAACTGCCATTCAGACAGTTACTACTGCTACTCTGGCCTGCGGGATATGTCTGAATCACATGGGAAAAGAAAATAATGTGTTGCTGAGGCTTTGGGCAAAAAGGACAGTGGTGAAGGAAAACAGTTCTTATGAAGGAAAGATATGCAAAGTAAATTGTGAGTGCCTGACACTAGCACAGCTGAACAGTGTGGAGAACGAAAAGCATACCTGTCCACCAGACTGGCTGCCTCCTGAAGAAGTCGAACCCTGTAAAAGTTATATTTTCATTTAAAATACCTTCTTTAAGTTTGACATGTATATTTGATTACAATGTATTTGTCTTTTAGTCTCTAAACTATGAAAAGATGTATCGGGTTAAGAACCCAATTTTATCTATAGAAAGATTAATGAGGATATAAAAATCCCACAATCTGGTAATATTTTCTTGAAATATGTATGTTGGGGAAAAAAAACCCCAAACACATTTGTTTCCTGGTGTTAGAACATCTGTTAATAAATTAACTGTATTTTGACCACTCTGCTTACACTTGGACTACTACATAGAGATATATAAGGATAAGGTGTTTGAGTACCAAACAAATCTTGCTTCCAGGTAAAAAAATCACTCTAATGCAATATGAGGACTCAAGCTTTTGTATAACAGATACTTCAGGTCAAAAATACTAAGAGTTAGTATTTACCTGTCCACTGGAGTAGCCACCACCTTGAGATGATGATCCCTGCAAAAAGTAGATCCAATTTATTTTTGTTTAAAATGGCTTCTGGAAAACAAGACTATGTTGAATAGTCATACAGACATTTTTTAAAATCTAAATTTTTTTTTTAAAACCAGTTTGCTATTTAATTTCACAAGACATGATGCCAGATGTCATGAGAAATCTGATAAACAGTTGGGTATAATTTACTCATCAGGATATTTTTTTAAATAAAACAATTGTTTTTGAAGGGAACTGCAAATAATGAATAAAATAGATGCTTACATGTCCACCTGACTGGCTGCCTCCTGGGGAATAAAAATCCTGGAAAAATGTATCGAAATTACATGATAAAAATAAAAACTTTCTTTCTTTTTTAGAATGGAAAGATCAGAATGAAAGCTGAAAACTCCTCCTTGCTTCTCCTCATTCCTTAATTTTCTCTCATAGAGTGTTCAAGAACAACAAAAAATAGGTCTTTCTGTATAAAACACAACACGCCCCTTTGTGCCTGTTGATACCTGCTCTTTTGGTGAAAGATACTTTTTTGGATAATATGTTTGAAATGTTCTTATATCTCCAACAAAATATTTCTCAGTCTGTGTCATTTAATTCTCATTAGAATAAATAAAATGGGTGCCATGTAAAACTGACAGGTAAAATGGAAGCCCTCCTAAGTCAGTCATAGAGCACAACAAAGCAAAGCATTTCACTTAAAATAAATGCTGGACAAATTATGGTACTGAAGCCTTTTGCAGTCAGGCAATGAGTAAAAAAGTGCAGGAACCTGAACAAGTAAACTGTGGTACCATGTTTGTAATGTGAGTTTATGATTCAAGAGTACACCTCAGAATCAGTTGGGATTTCTAGCAGTAATTTAACACTTTAGCCATATCCTCATTCCCTCTGTGTTGAGGACTTCCTATCCCACACTGGAAGCTGCCACACCAGCTTCCAAACAAGATGTAATTTAGGTAGCTAGCAGCTGCCAAGCACTGGGGCAGACACCCTGGCAATACAACAGGAAGGAGAACTTACCCGTTCACTCTGCTGGCTGCCAGATGACGAGGTGGAATCCTAAAAAATATTAGAATTTAGTTATTGCATGACAACTTTTTTTTTTTTTTTTTAAGCAAGGGTGGAAGGCATAGAAAACTACTGCTTGTTAGAAAGATTAAAAATGTAGGCTGTAGGATAAGCAGCATTCTTTTGAGTTCTTTCACTGCTTATTTCTGGAGTACGGAATTTCTTTCTTTGGAAAGCTGAATCCTGATGTAATGTAATAAAGGAATGGGAACACATCTCAATCTATGTTATTTCCTCTTAGAACACTATAGGGGAAAACATCAGCACTCTAACAACTGTCTTGGTTTCTATAAGACCTCAGTGGTACACACAAGTATTGTTATACCTTAGTTTCTTTCACACCTTAATTTTCTATCAGAGGGCCTTGGGGCCTTCTTCAGTATCACATTTTTGCTTTGCTAGATAATCATAAAAAGATTTTGATACAGAAACTAATGACACACTATACTTGTGGATAAAATGCACAGCTGAATTTATAAAAATTTGTGGAGAACAATTTCCTACTAACCAGGACACTGGAAAACAGACTTATTAGAAAGCCAGTTAAAGTACTGACAGTTACTCAAGACTCCAGGAAAACAAGACATTAAACTTGCAGTTTTATAAACAGCTTCACCAGAATTAATAGGAATTATACTTTTGTCAGGAGAAAAGACATGTTCTTAAACAGAAAAGCAAGTAGTTCTCACCACACTGCATGAAAACAGACCATTCCTATGCAATATATAGATGAAGGAACTTGAATCTTTTATGTCTGGCATTGGAAAAACACAAATGAAATGTACTGTGAACTGGAGATAGAAAGAGAGGGAACTACTCTGTGCAATACTGATACGGGAAGTTGTAGAAAAAGAATAAAATGAGATAATGATTAAGGGTCAAAACCAATGTGTTTTATCAAAAAAACCCAAGGAAAAGTTGAATTTAAAAATAAATCTGTATTTTAATAGCAATCAAGTTTGAAAGTCTTAAGTTGTGGGAATTGTTATAGGAGTCCAGAATAGTAAGTGTATATGGAATATACTCTTAAGGAAATAAATAATAAAAAATAACCCCTAAGAACAAGAATGGCTGATCTGACATACTGGTAATACTTTTCTTGTAATTAGTGTTCTTAAATTAGTGTTATTGTATGAAATTAATTCAGTGAAAACATAGCTGAACTAAACTGCTGGAAGTAAGAGCTATCTGGTTGTTTTGTACACTGTGAGCATACACTAATACTGAATTTCAATGGAAATTTTGAAATAAAAGACCTTCCTTTGTAAATGCTACTTATAATAACTGATTCAAAAAAGTATGTTTGTTACAAATCAGAACTGTTGTAACTGCAATTTTGCCAACTCCTTATCATACCATAGCACAATAATGTGACATAATTTATAACCGCATTTTCCTTTATCTATAGAAAAAATATAATCTCAAAGAAGTTATTGCAGAAAGTTACTAAACAACACATATTATTAGAGTGTACTGTAAAGGACTTCTTGAAGATAAGATGATGAGATAAGGTAGGGGTCCATGTAAGCACCTAGATACTTAAAAAGTAGTAGATTCTGATATTAATATACTTAAGAAATGCTTACACTGTCATTAGTTTCATTGCCTCCTATGGAAGGTGAATCCTGTAAAATAATGAAAACACATGTATTTTCATATAAAAAGGACTCTTACATGATCTTACTCATGGAGAATATAAAATAGAAGAATAAAGATAACCAGCTACTTAGAATCTCCCATTTTACCTAAACCAGGGAATTTGCAAGAAAAGAAAAAATATGTAACTTTACCTGTTGCTTAAGCAGAAGAGCTTAAAGAAAAAGCCCTCCTTGTAAACATGATTTTTGTAAGGAAAAATTTTATATAGTTGATTTGCAAAATTAACCATTCTTTACATTAAAAAAAAATTCCATTATCTATGCTTTCTTTCAAGATCCTGTACTAGAAGTAGCAACATGACTCAATTTTCTGTGAAAAAGCAATCTGGATTATATGTCTTATTATTTTTAATAAATAATTCTGTATAACTTCAGCTTGTTAAAATGTATTGCTAAACAAAACATAAGATGGTCCCTACAGAATGATCCCACAATAAGATTCACATCAATAAATACAGACTTCAAATATAGTATGTGCATATAGTACAGACTTTCAACAGCTTCTGCATAAGGTGTGTAAAGTAAATGCGTAAGATATTTTCCTTTTGAAGGAGGTAATGCATAAACTATGAAGTAGTTAAAGCACTGAATAATCACAGTGGCAGTTAGCAGGACAGTGTGTGTAGTGCATCACTTTCCTTCCACTATGGAAGCATCTGGAGTTGTAAAGGGGTAAGTAAAAATAAAGATAAAATAATAAAATGGCATTTCTACGGTTATCACTTAAAAATAACTGAAATAAAAATAATTTTCATCACTTGAAAATAACTGAAAACCCAGTGTACAGAAGAAACAACAAAGCAAGCTCAAACTTTTGATGTATAAGACAAATAATACTTACCTGACCATAAGATCCAGTACCACCATATGTGGAAGATCCACCCTGTTCAGAAAATAAATTATTCTCATATTGCAAACAGACCTTTTTTTTTTTTTTTTTTTTTTTTTTTTTTATGCTTGCTATAGGGAATCCCCTTCTGGGGTAAAAAATACGAATATTTACTTAGTTATCAGAATGGCTATTGAGCAACCCACAGTTATATCCCTGTAAAACACTAATTTAACATATTTTTAACTCAAATATTATTTCCACTTTTGAAGAGACCTTCATCTTGCAGATAAGTCAAAGCTAGCATTGTTGAGGAGAGTAAGTTTTAACAGTTGAAGGCACCCCAATTTTTACTCCCCTATAAACTTTCAGGCTACTTGGTTAAAAATATATGCAACTTCATTACTGGGAAAAAAAAAAACAAACCACTTTCATTAAAATATAGTAAGAGTCAAAATACAGAATACAGCTATATATAGGAGCCAGGGTACTGGCCCTCAGCACCCTTTATACAGACAGAAAAAAAATATTTACCTGATCATAGGATTCACTGCTGCTGTCATAGACAGAAGAACCTCCCTGTACAGAAAATAAAAAAAGTTAATTATTCTGGTTCCCTCATGAAAGAGTCTTCCTTCTTTTAAGGGCAGTACAGGAATGAAAATAAAATAAGTCTCTCATCTTTACAAATGAGGAAGAACACTTGCCTGTCCATAAGATCCACCAGGATAGAATGAAGACCCTCCCTGTACAGAAAACATAAAAATGTACTGGTTTGTAGTTGAAATGTTCTCTCAAGGAAGATTTTTAGACTGGTTCTGTGCAAGCACATCAACCAGAATATTTACCTGGTTGCCAGAGTAAGAGCTGTGGGAAGAACCTGGGCCCTCCTGAAAGAAAAACACAGACCAAATATTTTCTTGAAGATGAGTATTTAAACACCAGCGTATCTGGTTCCCACTTTACAACCTTCCTCCCAATTTTGAGCTAACTTTTATGTTCCTAAACAAAAATCAAGCCCAATATTGTTAAAGTGGAAGAAGTCTTCTGATGATAATTTTTCAGCCTGCTGAAATTTGAATTCTGCAAGGAAACTGCAGATACCAATTCTGTATGGTGGTGCTCTGTCAAACCTCACACCACTAGGTTACATCAGGGTTAAGTTTTCTCCTCTAAGATACAACCATCAGGTCTGTAACTGTAGCATGTCAAGGCACCCACAACATCAGGGGTGAAGGAACCAGGATGATGGGAGTCTGTGCTATCCGGGTAAGGGAGGAAAAACAACTACCTGTCCATAGGATCCTCCGGGAGAGAAGGAAGGCCCTCCCTGTGCAGAAGACAGAAGGGGTTACTGGTTTATATTTGGCTACTCCTTCAGGGGAGGTTTTAGACAGAGCTTCTGAATAGGGCATTTTATCTGAATGTTTACCTGGTAACCAGAATATGTACTGTGTGAAGAACCTGGGGCTCCCTGAAATGAAAACACAGACTAGCTATTTTCTTGAAAATAGGATGGTGTAAATAGCAATGTACCTGATTCTCACTTTAGGCCAATACTGTTAAAGAACAAGAAACTTTTTATTACTAATTTTCTTGGCTGGATGAAAGATCATTCAATAGAAGCTGTAAAAACCACTTAGTCTTTTTCTCTGACAAACTTCATGTTGTAAGTTACAAATGGTTGATTCAATGTTGGGATGTTATATTTCACAACAGTCAATACATGGGGAATATAGCAAGGAAGATAACAGAAGTTTGTCTTATCTTTACAAATGAGGAAGAACACTTACCTGTCCATAAGATCCACCAGGATAGAATGAAGACCCTCCCTGTACAGAAAACATAAAAATGTACTGGTTTGTAGTTGAAATGTTCTCTCAGGGAAGACTTTTAGACTGGTCTTGTGCAAGCACATCAACCAGAATATTTACCTGGTTGCCAGAGTAAGAGCTGTGGGAAGAACCTGGGCCCTCCTGAAAGAAAAACACAGACCAGATATTTTCTTGAAGATGAGTATTTAAATACCAGTGTATCTGGTTCCCACTTTACACCCTCCCAATTTTGAGCTAACTTTTATGTTCCTAAACAAAAATCAAGCCCAATATTGTTAAAGTGGAAGAAGTCTTCTGATGATAATTTTCTCAGCCTGCTGAAATTTGAATTCTGCAAGGAAACTGCAGATACCAATTCTGTATGGTGGTGCTCTGTCAAACCTCACACCACTAGGTTACATCAGGGTTAATTTAAGTTTTCCCCTCTAAGATACAACCATCAGGTCTGTAACTGTAGCAAAGGAACCAGGATGATGGGAGTCTGTGCTATCCGGGTAAGGGAGGAAAAACAACTACCTGTCCATAGGATCCTCCTGGAGAGAAGGAAGGCCCTCCCTGTGCAGAAGACAGAAAGGGTTACTGGTTTATATTTGGCTACTCCTTCAGGGGAGGTTTTAGACAGAGCTTCTGAATAGGGCATTTTATCTGAATGTTTACCTGGTAACCAGAATATGTACTGTGTGAAGAACCTGGGGCTCCCTGAAATGAAAACACAGACTAGCTATTTTCTTGAAAACAGAATTTAAGTGAGTCTATTTCTGGATTTCTATTCTGTCAAAATACAGCTTTCAAAAAGACATTATTGCAATCATTAGAAGAGAACACTGTTTATTTTTGGTAGAGATAAGGAAGCCTTTAGCAAGTACTTTTCTGTTCAGGTTAAAAGACCTGAAAGAATTAGTAACTTTTTATTTTACTCTTTCTAACCATAGAATCGTATGTCATATACCTGTCAGACTCTTTGTTGTTATAGATGAACATGACCCTGATTGTATTTTTAAAAACTGTCAGAATACTGAATTTATAAAGTGTAAACAGGCTTTAGGACAGCAGATTTTTCAGCTCACCACTCAAAGGAAAAGATTATTTACCAGTATATAACAACCAATTTTACCATCATGTCCTCTTTATATACAAAAGAGTCAAAGTATTATTTTATGGTTAGACTGCTTCTTCAAAGACTATTTGTAGACTGAACTCTTGTCTTTAGATGAAGCTTAGATAAAAAGTGGAATTACTGTTTGAGGAATTAGAGAATTCACATAATGAAACCCACTGTTTCCTTTGAAAAAAAGATGGTTTAACTATGTATAGCTTTGATTCTTAAGTTAAAGAAATTATTATCTGATAGCAAGTAATTACAGTCTCCTGCCCCCAGCCAAGCTGTGGTTGCTTGCCATTCAGAACTCTCTTTTTGTCCAATTTAAGCACGCAAAGAAAAAAGCCCTATAAGAATGAAAACTTGCAGAAAGACATCCAACTTTTTCCTTGTAAATGGATTTGCTTATACTGCATTATAATCACATGACAAATAAAAAAGTTCTCCCTTGATGAAGTTCCAGTATTAGTTATTTTAATAAACTAGTCTATATTTTAAAACATGTAGGTCATGATTACTGCTCAGCCTCAATTATATGAAAGAGGTGATATTTTACCTGACCAAAATTACTGTTGCTGTAAGTTGAAGTTAATGACAACTAAGTTCAGAAAGCAGTAATTTCTTCATACAATTAGTTTGCTTAAACAGTATGTTTTTTCATAGAAATAATAATCCACAATATGGATTAAAAAAAATATTGCACCATTCAAACGGGTTTATGTAAAGACAGCTTCAATAAAATCTTCAGAAAAAATTTTCAGGTAGAAGATAACTGACTTTAAAATTCAAGTTCACCTGGCAAAGCCAAGTGAAGCCAGAAGCCTGATAAACCTAGTCTATAATGCCCATGTAACCTCATTCCTTGGGCTTTTTTCTGGCACAGAGGCACGGCTTAAGAGAAAAGTTTATTCAGTGCCACTGATCATGAAATTGCAGTGATTCTCTTTATGGGAAAGAGTAGTTTAAATATTGATTTATGATATTGTATTTTGAAATATTTATCAGATTTTGGCATTTTAGTCACCATATTTTATTGCACCAGTGAGAGAAGGACAAGGCACCTAAGCTGGATGCAATTAAATTCTGTGGTTACTACAGGGCATTTTGACTCTGGTTTTTGAAAGTAATGAATAATCAGCACATAACGGTCAACGGACAGAGCATCTGGATTACAGTTACAGAAAGTTAGCAGCCAGATGGTAATTATGCAGTTAAAGTGGGACTCATTCTTCCATTTCATTGCATATAATTCTATCCATATTAGGGAAATTATCAATAATATTTAGTGTTACACAAGAATCCATACTTACTAGGTGATTAAATCAAAAAACTCCATTATGTAGATGAAAGTATAAACTCAGAAAAAGAATTACCTGGTTATTACCACTGCTTCCATCAGGACAAATGCAACCACCCTATAAAATAAAAAAAACAATTCTTACTTGGTGAAAGTTTAAAATAAAATCTTATTTCAGATGTGAAGCTGTGTTTCGGGGAAGAAAGACCGTGGGACTACAGAATAGCTGTGACCTTTCCTGTACCTAGAATAAATGAGGGGACAGCATATTTCTCTACATTTAAGAGTTGTTTTGAAAGTTAGACTGATACTACATCTCAGTGCTATGTCTCAATGACAGATGCCTCATCAAGAGAGAATTATCTGGGTAGTCAAGCATACAGAGAATCACCATTGTGTTCTCATCAATAAACAGTGTGAAATTGAAACACTGCTAAGAAGTGATTTCAGAGAGCCATTTCAAACAAATTTAATCTGAACATGGTCACTTAATTTACAATTTAATGCATAACATCACCAATCATCCCCCATGCAAAACTACTGGACTTAAACTCTGACTCCAGAATTTAATTAGTTTAATTACCAAGAAGCTATCTGGACTAGAGAAAATTAGAGAAAATGCCGACCTGACTATTTGATCCACCACCAGTTGCAATGAATGATCCACCCTGTGAAGAAACCGATTATTTCTTATAGAAGCATTATATCAGAATCTAACATGTAAAAAACTGTGTAGTGAGAAGGTGACAAACTTGTTGTACTACTTCCCTCTGTATGAATCATTGTGAAAACATAAATTTGGATGAAACTTAATTAGTGATTGGATACCATACATAGGGAATGGGTATCAAGAAAACTAATTAAAAAAACCTGTGACTGGAGCTCAGAGATCTGACTGCACTATTGAATTAGAGTTCAAACTCTCTGAGACAGAGGATTATGCGAGTGTTACATCTACATCATTCTGGACACAGCAGGATTCCAGATCTCTAGGAAGCTGATAGGTACCAATACAATACAAAATATTTAGAAAAAACTGAATCAGGTGCCACTCTGGATCAGTTAAATTTCACATAATGCTATAACATATACACTGCTGCAGCAGTATGTAAGTTGACAGAATATGAAAGTTGAACCTACTTTTGTCACAGAAGTACATAATTGCTAAGATGTACCTGGTTCCCAAATTCTAAATGAAACAGAATTATAGATCTGGCCATTACCATCACTAGAGTAGGACTGTTTCTAACAAATTATTCTAAAACAATTTTTTCTGTTTTGTGAACAATTTTTGCAAAATGTTATGTTAAGAAATGCCTGCAATGCTTACCTGTTTAGTGGAGTAAAGGAACAGAGGAGACAATATTTGTGGGGCCATTATCGTTATTTACTACTGTGCAAAATTAAAACATTATAGGGAAAACGCTGCTATATCAAAAGAGCACCCTTTAGCACATATAAATTAGTGGAACCTAATTTTCAGAAATGAAGTATAATTTATCAGAAAGCTCCTTGTGCTAAGATCATGCAGTAGACACTATGTTATTACCTGGAAGTTATTGTGGCTGCTATTTGAAGTAGAAGTCTCATTCTGTGAAGAAACAAGAAATGACTCATTTTTCTCTAAAGTGTAATAAACTAAAATACATAGTTCTGTTGGGAAGGAACTACCTAACTTAAATAGAATACTCTGTTGTGGAAACGAGATCCTTATTTTTCTTTTTGTAGGTAATACACCAAGGAGCTGTAATGCCTGCAGTAGTTCAGAAAAAGCGACAAGAATGGTTTACCTGTGCATCATAGTCTCTTCTGCTCAAAACGTGTGATGTATCCTGTAAAGAACAAAGACATTCACTATTAGGAGATGAAAGCTCTATGATCAGTGCCAGGTGTTCTTTTTTTCTGTATTATTTATTTAGAACAACTCCAGACCCTTTAATGCACATATTGAGTAGGAATGCCTTATTAAAAAAGGTTATTTAGACATAATTTTTATAGGCTACTGCTGAGTCTGACTTGAAGCTATACAACACATACATCCGTATCTCCTCCACAACATGCTGAGCACAATAAATTCCCCAACATTATTATTTCTTACATCATTATTCTATCTTACTTCAGCTAAAATTTTAGTTGTCCTCTGTTTGTATGACACTCATTTAATTTTAACTTTAGCTTGGACCAACTGTGTATATGCTTCCTGAAGAACAGGAATTTGAGCTGCTCTGCACCTCATAGCAGGATTTTCATGTCTTTTTTTCATATACATACTTCCTTTAAAGTAAATTCACATGAAGAGCAAATAGATAAGCTATTCTATTTTACTTTTTCCTTAAATAGGATAATATTAATTAGGACAAACATAATTAGTCAAAAATTAGGCATAATTGGGACAAATGAAATATAGTTAGGGCAAAAATCCTACAAGCAGTAAAAACCGAAAAGACAAAAAAGTTACTTACTCGGGCTACAACCTTCTTGTTTGCGCAACCAGAACTCTGTAAAGGAGCCAGAAGCCAGTGATTACTTTATATATATGCAGCCATCCACCCAAAATACTTTCAGCAAAAATCTATCTAAACTTGTCAAGGTGGTATATTTCAGGACAAGAAAATGTCTTACTATCAGTAAGAGCCTTAAAAAGCATATTCTTCATCTGTTTTCACCTTATCACTCCTTCATCAGAAGTTCCTGACTAGTGGAGTCTCCCTCAGCTCAACCACTGTGGTTTACAGAACAATCTGTATAATGAATTTTTGCTTTTTTTTTTTAATCAGACATTCCCCACCCTTCTTTGTGATAATGTCTAGAAGCAAACTCTTTTACAATTAAATCCGGCAATATGCACTGGATAGGGATAACTAAGGGAATAATAACATCTTTTGTGAACAAAGGAGGAAGTGATAAGATTTTAACTACTGTGTGGCAACACTTAGTTGTTACTGTGTTAGTTGCTTCATGAACTCATGTCTGGTATGAGTGAGATGAAATTTAGATCAGAAATTGGATAGAGAGGAAGTTAGGTTAGACAGTAGAACAGGCTGCCCAGGGAGGTGGTGGAGTCACCATCCCTGGATGTGTTTAAGGTTCGTTTAGATGAAATGTTGGGGGATATGGTGTAGGGGAGAACTTTGTAGAGTAGGGCTGGTGGTTGGACTCGATCATCCCAAGGGTCTTTTCCAACCTGAATGATTCTATGATTATATGACTCTTAAACAGGGCTTGCTGCTGAAGGATTTTTTTTTTTTTTTTGCAGAACCTTTTGCATTAAGCCTAATGAAATGCATAGAAGGTAAATATAGGAAAAAACAAAAGATGTTTTCAGAAGGCCTCCTTACTTCAAGCATACATTCCGTGCAGTACTGAAGTACTGGAGAAGAAAAATGGGGAAAATAGTGAAGCAGTAAAGTATATGGCTGACAACTGAAGGCAAGTAGCTGATGACAGAAGGTTACTCTAGATGGCAGTAAAACAAAAGGAGGCCGTAATAGATGGAAAAAGCTTTTTGAACAGAAAGAAGTACAGAAATATGTAATTAATTTACACAACAGCGTATTTGCTTGGTCACAATCTATCCATGTTAATGTTAATCACTGATTGTAGGACAGATGGAAAGTCTTGACAAAGAGAGTATTACCAGGGAATAAATGTTACTTTACAATACTAGCATATATGCAAATTTAAATTAAAACCAGTGGAAAAAGCCTGAGGTAGCTACATGTCTCACATACACAAATGCTTAATTCCCAAAAAACTATCTGGTCAAAGTGCATCTACTACAAAAACACCTGTCAGTATATATTCTTAGAAGTATTGTGCATTTTTAAATAATTGTGCATCAGCCTCGAGAACGGCTAGAAGGGACTGAGTACAGAGAAATATAACATCAAGTATCTCATTCTTTAATTAACTTTTTGAAGGGTATTATAAAGCAATCATACACTACAGTTAGAAGCCCACAGTTCTAATGTTGAAGTGTTCAGTTACTAACAAAACTTGAGTACTGCAGAAGGAAAAAAAGCACTTACCCGACTACTGGCACTATAGGTAGTGTCATTCTGGAAAAGAATAAATTATTTCTTTCTTTAAGAATTCTTTAAATACAGTAAGCTTACAGAAACCTGATTCTTTCTGATATTGCACACAGACATAAAAAAAATCATATGCTGCTCACATCCTTCATAGCCTTGGCTAAAATAGTTTGAAATTCTACCATTCCAGTCTGAAAAACATTTTAATAGCAACTTTAGATTGGTAGAAATGTAACATGAAAGTTATATTCCACAAAGTGGAAGATCTGCCACTGTATCTCTCTTCTTTATTTCATTGTATTTATTTAAAGCTTGTCTATGGGATTTTCTTTTTTTTTGAAAATGACAGTAAAAGGTATCCTTAGATTTTAGGCAAAATCTTCTGTTACTGCAAAGCCACTGAAGTATTTTTATCCATATTTCATTTCATCAAGTTAAATGCACAAAATGTATCTGTAAACACTTATATGACAATTTCCAGTAAGAAAACATGCAGTTGCTGAAATTTATTAGTGTGGGAACTCAATATTCTTTCTGGATCATTCTGCTCACAAGGCTGCATCTAACAGTGCAGTATTTTCCCATCTACATGAAAAATGTTGTGATGAAAATATATTAGAGAAAGCATACTCACATCATCACAAGCATTGGGATTATCATCTGAGAAATCTTGTGAATCCTAGAAAGACATCAGATACCAGTTATTTCCTTACACAAACATATTGTTAAAAATACACTTTGATGTTGTACTCCACAAAACAGAATTGAGGCTTATGCAAAAAAAAAAAAAAAAAGCGCTGAGTTAAATAAGATCTTTATAAGGAAAATTAGACAAATACGTGGCTTCAATAGCTGCTTATAAGGAATGTTCCATTCTTCAGTAAAGAAAAAAACCCCAAAACAATCCAAAAGAGCACAGAAACTATTGTGTTTTATTACATCTTTGAGAAAGATGATGCAGGGACTACAAAGATTATAATGAAATAATACAGTTTGGAGAAAGAAAGAACTAGTTACCTGACTATCATAATAGCTGTCTGAGGAGGACGATCCACCCTTTGAAATAAACAAATAAACCAACCAAAATCAGGGAAAATTAGGATATAGAAAACCTGATTTTGAGCAAAGGCTAAAGCCTGTATGAAGTGATGTACAAGTAGGGAAACAGCATTACTTACTTGGCCACCACCATAGCTCTGTGAGGAGTATCCACCCTATAAAACAAACAAATATAAACCCTACTTCAGAAGAAACTGTGATTTTGTTCAGGGACTATAAAGCTGGAATAAACAATTGCCTGGGATTCCTTTGAAAAAATACAACTTTTTAGGTGTCTAGGTAAATTATCAGATATGATAAAAATTACCAGGAGATTATCAATGTTTACCTACCTGGTTGCCACCATAATTGTCTGAGGATGATGATCCACTCTGCTAACAAAAAAAAAAAAAATTCCAGCAAATTAGAATTAATATTGCAGATTGGATATTGATCAGCCATAGTGGACCCTGTATGAAGTAAAACTTCAGTGGGAGGAAACAATAATCTAGTACTTACTTGGCTACCACCATAGTTTTGTGAGGAGTATGATCCACCCTGTGAAAACAAAACAGCAACAGTTATAACGCTAGAGAACTGAATCTGATCAGAATCCACAGAGCTAGCTTTATTAGGTTGCTGAGTTCTTGCTATGTAAGTGGAATTTCAGGGCTGATATAAAGTACATTTGAAGAGAATGAGTTACAGGCTGGAGCTGGGGAGAATCTGCAAGAGTCTATACTCTCACGAGCAAGAAAACTATACCTGGATTAGAACTGCTTGAAAAGATTTTACCAATGGATAATAAAGAGCTAGCTACCTGACCACCCCATGATACATCCTGTAAATCAGACAAAAATTATGCATGCTTTAGACACTTACTGTTTGGCTATGGACTATTTTTAATGAAAGGTACGATACTTGCTTAGAAGGAGTAAGGAGCAGAGGCAGATATGCAATATAGATATGATTTCTAACATAGTAAACACAGATTGCCAACAGTGAAAAGATAAATACTAGATGAGACACATGTCAAGGAACCACAAATATTTATCTTTAAGTAATGTCTAGTACACAGATGAGTTTCATTCTGAACAGTCTCTAGAGAATGTATCTCTTTCTCTTAAAAAACTTAATATATACAAATGGAGTGAAAAAATTTCCCTGGAAAGCTGCAAGCCGTGAGATAGACTGGCCTTGAAGAAAAGGTTTTGAATAAAACACTCAGTATGTTTCAAAATGCCCTCTTTAGAAGAGGAATGTAACTCCTCCAAGTAAAATTAGAAAAGACATTTGTAGAAGTATTAGTGTCAAAAGTGCATAATAAAACCAGTGAAATCCTGGACTGAAATGACTTGGATATTTGCCGTTCACTAAAATGAGGCTGAGACTTCATCCAGAAAAGGCAAAGGAAAGTGAAATGAAAAGTATTATCTTTCAATGTTCTAGCAGATTTTAGAACAAAATCTTTGACAGAAATAGCTCCTCTTCATAAAAAACTTGAAAAGCTATATAAAATAATATAATTATATACCTATATCATATATTTATTCTTCCAAGTCACAATAATAATATAGCATATTGCATATACATTATGATAATATATTATAGTAACATCTATGTTGACTGTGTATTTATGAATATAGTATATATTTTGCTAAAACACAGTATTTATTAATATAATTAATCTACCCAATGTTTCTGTTTCTTGAGAAAAATCAGCAAGAATCAAGAGAAGTATCATGAATAAAAAAAGAAATAATCTATTGCTGTCTTCTTACTGATTTTTAACATTTACAGAGATTGTTTATTTAAACATAGCCGACATCTTTTAGGATAGTGGTTTTTAGAGTTCCAGTGCTGAAACTTGTAACAAATACACATGTAGCTATCTGGAGTTCACTGCACAAACTGAATGAATTGTGAAGCCAGTCTCCTGTAGAAGCTCAAGTGGCAGTCCTAAAATATTTTTTGACTTTTGATGGGAAAAGTCCAGAGAGAGGCTGGTGAGCTCCATCCCTGATTTAAGTAGTGCCAGTCAAGCAACTATGCAGCAGACCTGTTCTTTCCAGAATCCGTCCTTAATATCCTATAGAGACATTTCACAGACGTAATGCTAGGAAAAAGGGGGAAAAAAGATGCCAAGCCCCTGTGATGCTCCCATGCATAGGAAGATACTGAATTCTAATCTCATAAGATTACATGGATTTGCACTCTATGAATCTGAAGTTGTTTCTAAATTGAGTTAGTGGCAAAATGAATTTTGGATGCATCTTAAAATGAGAGGAGGAAGGCCATTTACCTGGTGGCAGGGGTTGCTATCATATGAACTACCCTGTTAAAAAACAAACAAACCAAAAGATAAATGCCCAAATTTTCACTATCTTGCAAAGTAATTATCATTCTTAAATTTTCTTATGTGAGATTTAATGTAACAAAACAAAACATAAAACTTTTCAGAGGGTGCGTTTCATTTTATTTAACATTTTAAGGCTGTGGCTTTAGCCTCTGTCATTCCCATACCCACATACACACAAGCACCAAGACACAAGCACACAGATGATCAAAGCAGGACTAGTTGTGTGCCACATGGAAAGCAAGGTAAATTGGCAATTGATGGCTCTCTGTATCATCCTAGTTCCTTTTGATTGGTAAAGATGAAATGGTTTAGGGGTTTTTGCACAGTCCTTTTAGGAATCAACATTTACTGTTGTGTGACCATCTACCTCAGAATCTTGCTAGATTCACCCATCATATCTCTTAGGCAAGGCTTTCATGTCTCTGTTTTGGGTATATTTTGGCTACAATCAGTCTTTCTGTTGGGACAGCAGGATGAGAAACAGTACACACAATGAGTTCTACTCTGGTTTCCACCTTTGCATTATTAAAGCACAGGTATTGTGTTGGTAAGTCAACCTGTGACACAGCTTTGGTGGAAGTAACATTCTTTAGTGTTCATCAGTTTCATTGCTGTTAACTCTGTTCTTGTACTGCTTTTTATGGTATTTTCACATGCATTTTTATTAATACTTAACTCATACCAATTCTAACATTTCTGCTAAATACTTCTGCTAAGTATTTATGTATTTATACTTCTCTTTCATTCTCATTGCTTTCCCAAATATATTTATTTGAACATAGGTTTACTATCAGAGCCTCATCCATGATCCTTTCACCTGAGATCTCATCATTGAAGACATTGTCTCTATACTGTTGTAGGCATAGACGAGTTGAAATGGAACCAGGATGAAAACTACTAATTTAACTCTTATTCCATGGAAGCCACTCTGATCCTCTCGCTTCCTATAGGAACTAAATGGAGGAACATCTGAAAATCATTCCCAAGCAAAGATTTTATCTGTTTACTGAGTAGACAGATGAATCACTACTTGTCCATCTTCTGTGTGTAACACTACATGGGAGAAACCATTTTGTTTACAGTGACCAACAGTGTCAGCTTTTCTTTATCTCTGTGCTAGATAAGTCCATGTATTAATGAAAACAAAAGATTCCAACTAACAAAAATTACATAACTTACTGAAAAACATGTTACTACTATAAAGAAGGCTGGGTCTAGTTTTCATATAGTTTTGAGAAAGAGGACTTACTTGTCCACAACCACTGCTGCCACCTGAAAAAGATGATACACCCTGCTGGAGGAAAAAAAAAAAAAAGCACGTCAGTAATCCAAATATTCCTTTTCTCCATTTCAAATACAAAAATTAATTTTAAGGGGCTTTAGCGGCCTGACTACTTAAAAGAAAAGGAGAACAACAGCTACATCCTAACGTGAATTGCCTTGTAAATTAGTCATCAAAAAGATGACACCTACATGTACTCCTTTCTATGTGGGAAAGAGCTGTTCCAATGAGCCTACTGTTATCAGACCCATATAAAAAAAAATGTTCACAACTCCTACATCTAAGGAGAACTTACTACATTATTTCAAGAAGCAAATCACAGAATTCTGGATAGACATATGGGAATATCACATGCGTATTGCATACTGCCTGGTGACTGATGCTTACCTGGCCATAGGAACTGCCACTTTGAGGTTGGTAGCCCTGTAAGAAAGACAAGAACTCATTTGTAAACAAAGCAGATTGTGAATATTCTCAGCAAAAGCTCCAAATAAAATTGAGACACAGACTACCAAGGAAACATCACTCTCAAAAATCTGCCAGTTGTGCTGGTCACAGAGAGATCAGTGAAGAATTTCCTACAAAATATCTGCTTTTCTTACCTGGCCGTAAGAACTGCTGCTGCCCGAGTAACTTGGCCCACCCTAAGACAAAGACACAATTTGGTTACTCCCCTTTTGTAAGGGATCTGCCCTAAGTTAGGAAAAAGCAAACAACTTCATCCTAAATCTATGCAGGACAGTGTAAAGAGCCCAGACTTCCTCCTGGCCCTCACAATGATGCTGCATGCGATAATTTCACATTCTGGGTTTCCAGGTAATTATGTAGCACGTAGATAAATTTTGAGTGTGAAAATACACACTTTCAGAGAAAACATCTTTTAAGGTTCAGATTCTGAGTGACTGCTAAGTGCTTTTGCAGTGCCATAGCACTCCACTTTCTCAAATGCTGTATTCTGACTGGTGACTGACCAACTGATGCTTACCTGGCTGTAGGAACTGCCACCTTGAGGCTGGTAGCCCTGCAAGAAAGGAATTATTGATTCATATTTACTATGTTTGTGAAGCAGATGCCTCTTTCAGTTTGTCTCTTTATGGGGACGAAAACCCAGAATAAGACAGAATGTACAGACTCTGCTGCTTCACTAGAATTATTTTGGTATTTCTTACTCTAGATGAATATCTGATCACACTCTATTTATCAAACAACAATTACAGAGTAGTTTTACATCCATCTTAAATGGGATTCCAGTCTCACGAAGGCTTTCCAGGACATTGAAGGGACTCAACATTTTCTTACTATGTTTCCTTTGCCTGCTTTTTCTCAGACACTGGGCTTAGACAGCAACTGGTAGGTAAATACTGATTTCCTATATTTGCATTTCTGGTGGGCCTCGGTTGCACAACTGCCTTCCTCTGAGGGAGAATAAAGGTGAAAAATATTTTTTTTAAATTAAAAAAGGCTCCTAGAAAAAAAAAATCATAAAATGGAAACAGAAAAATGCCATTAAAAGTAGCATGCCAAATTAATTGGTCAAGGATGCCAGTAGCTTTTGAAAAACTTTCAGTCACAGAAAGTTACTGTGGGTAACTATAAGCTGCTGATGCAACCTACCTTCAATATAAAGTCAGAAAAAAAGCAGATGTTTCATGTATGTGCAGACCTGTGCCACAGCCCTCTGGGAGACGTATGAAGACTAGGATTACCAAAAAGGATTTGAACTATCTTGTCTATTTATGCTATCTGATATTCTGGCAATATTTGTAGCTATCTTAGGGATGCTTTAATTCACATAAAAACTGTAAAGGGAGGTAAACATTCATCAGCTGCTGGCTCTAAGACAAAAATTTCCTGCAGCTGAGAACCTCACCGAGTATCTTTTTTTAAAAGAACTCAATATAAATAGAAAAAAACAGAATTAAAATCTGCTATCTTTTGCAGTGCCATGGCACTCCAACTTCTCACATCGTGTATACTGACTGATGCTTACCTGGCCATAGGAACTGCCACCCTGAGGCTGGTAGCCCTGTAAGGAAGGCAAGAACTCATTTGTAAACAGCTGTAGTCTTAGCACAGCTGTGACAGAAGCCCATTTCCACTAGAAATTCCTCTATATTATGTTCTTTTTCCTTCACAGTCATTCAGGGACATGAATCACAATCAAGGATCACCCAGCAACCGCAAGAAGGAAAAAACCGCAACCAAACCCCAAACTCCATTTACAAGGCAGCCTGCTACAGAAAAACTTAAATATATTTCAACAAAATATTTTCACCTGGCTAGAGGACTGGCTGCCTTGGGAACCCTTTAAAAAAAAGGAGAAGATAATTACTACTTTGACAAGGAGACTTCTATGAAGAGCATAATGTTTATGGAAATACAGCTGCCCAGGGGCTTCACAAAAAGGCTCTTCCTGAGTCAAAGGAGACAGAGCAGTATGGTAGCATCTGTGCGGCAGATTGTGAATATCCTCAGCAAAAGCCCCAAATCAGATTGAGACACAGACTACCAAGGAAACATCACTCTCAAAAACCTGCCAGTTGTGCTGGTCACGGAGAGATCAGTGAAGAATTTCCTACAAAATATCTGCTTTTCTTACCTGGCCGTAAGAACTGCTGCTGCCTGAGTAACTTGGCCCACCCTAAGACAAGGACACCATTTGGTTACTCCCCTTTTGTAAGGGATCTGCCCTAAGTTAGGAAAAAGCAAGCAACTTCATCCTAAATCTATGCAGGACAGTGTAAAGAGCCCAGACTTTCTCCTGGCCCTCACAATGATGCTGCATGCGATAATTTCACATTCTGGGAATCTGGGTAATTAAGTAGCACGTAGATACATTTTGAGTGTGAAAATACACACTTTCAGAGAAAACATCCTTTAAGGTTCAGATTCTGAGTGACTGCTAAGTGCTTTTGCAGTGCCATAGCACTCCACTTTCTCAAATGCTGTATTCTGACTGGTGACTGACCAACTGATGCTTACCTGGCTGTAGGAACTGCCACCCTGAGGACGGTAGCCCTGTAAGAAAGGAATTAATGATTCATAATTATGGAAATACAGCTGCCCAGGGGTTTCCAAGAGTCTAGAATCACTTCCTCTCAGTGCCATGACTTCTATGCACCTTTTAGAGGACACATTGAGTGGAATACAGTCATGTCAACCAGTCAAACATGAAAATATATTTATGAGCACTCCAAACAATAATAAACACTAATACCAGATGACAATTTTATGCACAAAAATCAGAGAAACAGAAATATTTGCACCATGTGAAATAGATTTAAAAACGTATTAAATCATTTATTTCCAAGTTGTGCTGGACCAAGTTGTGAAGTCTACATGAATGTTTCTAATCCTTTTAAAGTTCTCTTACCTGAGCATATGTACTGCTGCTGGTGCTTTGCTGACTTTGTCCACTCTACACAAGAACAACAACAAAAAAAAGCTTATTTATTTTTTGAGAGGAATTGCTTAAGTACTAAAACATTTCAAGAAGCAACTCTATCCTTATATCTACTAGACAGTTTGAAAGCCAGAAAGAGTTCCTTATGCTCTTTCTTTCTTCATTTATGCCATCTCCATGTGCTTCAACATTCAATACTTCAGTATATAATGATCCTTCATAAGTAAAGTGCTATAAGTATTTATATATCTTGATGTAACTTTCTTAATGAAAATTTGTCATTTAATACTATAATATAGAAAAAATAATACGTATAATACAGTATGTTCCATATTGTGGTATTTCAAGTGAGTTTAATTCTGCCCTTCAAATGTATCACATAAATTGTCTTTAAATTCATATCAATTTATATTCACATTATGACTGCTTTTTTAATGAATAAGCACCACAAAATTTTGACAAAGGCTTTGTCAGAACAAAAGTGGAAAAGCCACAGTTACAATTTAATCAAGGGAAAGTCACTGCAGAAAATCATTCAATTCCCATGAAATACATGGATTATGAGAGCAATCAAATATTTTTCAGTTTTATTTATACATACACATTGAAAATATTAAACCTGTGTACTCAAAACATTCTACAATTAAATTCAGAGATCAAGTAAAAAGGAAATCTCTGTCAGAATTCATCTCTGGTTATGGAAGAATCTAATGCTACAAATTTTGAAAGCAATGATTTTCAAAGGACAGATTTCAGCTGTGGTAACCTGCTACTGGTATTTCAACAGAAGTGAGAATTTCTTGTCACAGTCTGAAGGACTATCATATGAAGTAAGGAAAGCCTAAACTGTGAAGAGTGGTAAGTATGTAAAAATCACAAAGGACCCAGAAAAAATATGCCTGAGTGATATTCATAATACTTTACAAACATGCTCTTGTTGAGATTGGATTGTAATCAACCTTTTAAGTGCCTGGTTATCAAGAAGCGATGTTATAAACACAAACAAAAGTAATACCTAGCAGATTTTAAGAAAATGTAAGACTGAACTAGTTATTTCCATGAAAAAAATAGACTGTTTAAATGAACATGGAACTGGGCAGGTTATGATTTATGCATAGTTGATTTAATATCACGTAACATTCAAACTTTAATTCTGGAGTTCCATCTGCCTTCCTGAGCAGATTGAGATGGTTAAATTTTGCAAATTTTGAGAGCACTATGGAATTAACTTACAGATGTGTTTGTATTGTATGACTGTAGAAAATAGGTGCAATGGTCTTTAAACAGCAACAAAGTAGGATATCCACTTCACTGTAACCACAGAAACTCCCTACTTCACCACTGTAGTTTGTGGATATCTAAAATATCCACGTTACCCATATTTTATTTTTTTTTTTTGCAAAGAATGAATCATTATTTAGTTTACTGAGATAGGGTTTAGTTACAACTCAAATATAATGGAGAAAGAATGTCTACCTGTATTATGACCCTAGTAGCAGAACTTCCCAAACTCTGAAAAGAAAAACAGAAAACCACAACAGAGAACATTTAATTTGACTTGTTTAAATGCAATGCAGTTAAACAGAAAATACAAACCTGTACTATTTTGCTTGGGGGAATAAAAGGAAAGGTCGTATGTGTGATGGTCTGAGTATCAAATTCTTAATACCCAGCATCAAACTAGTTTATCCTCAGCTCTGAAAGTTTGTGGAGGCAGCCTGACCCTACTAAGTAATTTTCTGCATTTGCCTCTGCTTCTATTATAGCTTCTGTGGAGAACAGCAGAGCACAGGCTATGCTGGTTTTGCACTACCAGTCAGCTCAGCTTTTCCAAATGTGGTGAGTGAAGCTGAGACATCATCATCCCCCCAACCTGTCTCACTGTCACCTGTATTGGACATGTATCACCACACATACAAATTCAATTCCTGATCTAATCATTTGTTTGCTGAAGTTTGGGGCATGCAGGACACAAGTAAAAGGGCAGCAGACACCATCCTGAGGAAATTGGTTTGATCCCACAAGAACTATATTACTATTATAGAAATCATAAGAAGAAAGTATGCTTACCTGGGGGTAGGTATGACGCTGCAAATGAAACAAAACAATCTTTAATTATTTTGCACAAGGTCTTGTCCAAACAGAATACTGCAGCAGAAAAAGGGCCCTATCTTTTGTATGCAATACACAACCAAATGTGAAAGATATGGAAAGGACAGAATAGAACAAATGCATCCTCATTTTCATTCAGGTTAGAACATCAACATGTTTAATTAGAAACTAGACACCAGAAAAACATATATATAAAATGTTGTGTCATACAAATTCACTTTAACCATCTTAAGGCTAAACTTACCTTTGACTGACTGTATGAGTTCCAAGTAAGACAAGTGGAAATGGAATAGTTTAAAAATGAGAATGGAAGTGAATTTACAAAAGAAAATGGCAATAGAATCAGAAAATCAAAACTGAGCAGGAATACAGAGACTTCATTGAAGTACCCAGAATTGACAGCTAATCCAATATCTCTGCAAGTATTAATAACAATCACAGAACCACGAGATTTGCAGCTATCATACTATTGGCTTTCCCTGAGGATAATTACGCACCTAGGGTAAACCCTCCCTGCCAAAGAGTTGTCTCAACACATCAGGAATCTTTTTGACAAATTAAGCACATAGATATTTAAAGGGTTTTGAGTCAAAATTCTGAGCCCTGTAGAGAAAAACTGCTTACCACAGGTGGATAAGGGTTGCTGTTGGCAATGACCACTACCTATGGAAAAATCAGAGAAAACTGTTTACTCATCATAGTGTTTATTTACACAGTTAAATATATTAGGAAAATGAAGACTACTGAATTCTCTAAATTTACTAACTCCAATAATAATGCTATGGATCATCACTTTTATAAAATACTATTTTTATTAAAAAATTTAATGCACATTACCAAGCAATATATATGTATAGATGGTTTACACAAGCGTATAAGGAGATAAAAGACTTTCTCCCAGTCACTCTGACTCAGCTGTAGAGGCAGAAGCAGGATTTCATGTATTGTACCATATCCAATGGCCTGTCCTGTGTGTCCTTTTTGATCTTCAACTTTCCACCCCAAACTGGAGTATCAATTTAGTTTCTCTTTATTCAGTATTACGCTAAACAAAGGCTTAATACTGAGTTCATTCAAAAAAATTAAGCCAAATGCAATACTAGTAACTTCTGTTTAGGTTTTAATGTTTTCTAACTAGAAGCTTACCCCTGCCTTTTTTTTTTTTAAACTGAAAACAGTTTGTATTATCCAGTGGTATAAAAAGGAAGAAGAAAATTGATGCTATCAGAAGTAAAGAATTCTAGTATAAAACAGGGAGAACTATTATGTTTTTAAAACTAAGTTATTAAAAAAAAAATCTATCAATATGTTTTGAATTTTTAAAATAATGTGAAATTAAAATGAATACAAAAAAATCTATGAGGACATGAATGGGTACAATGTGTATTTATCAAACACACCATAATATTAGCCCTGAGCTTCCTGAGGACTGAACTGAGACAAAGAGTCCATGTAAATATTATGAGTCAATTTCAACAGTAATATGAATTCTATTGATTTCAATTGCTTTGAGTCACGCTTATTATCCAGCTCATCTGAATAATAATTGCAGAATCTATATCCTTAAAAGGCCTAATTACATCACAATCACTATCCTAACTTTTTAAAAACAAATCCCCATAAATATGTATGAAATTTTATTTTCCATACAGTTAACTATCAACAAAAGCGGCCAAAGCATGGCTAGCTAATATAAGGCATCTAAGAACCAAACTGATTCAAATCATATGAATCAATCTGGGTTAAAACCTTGAAAAGTCTTAACTGATAAAAGGAACTGTAGTACCACTGAAATAAGTCATGCCAAGTTACAAGAATTTTTTTCCATTTGAATTGAAAATAAGTGTTTACCTTCTTAGTGGAATCTGAACTGCTTGAAGGGACAGACTGTGAAAAATACAGAATCCATTTTTTGTTTAGGTAAATGTACGACAAATTAACTACAGCACTATTTTCCACAAGAATGTTATAGCTAACATAATTTCTCTAAAATAAGATTTCTCTACTAAATTAGATTCTGAATAAAAATACTAATGGATTGACAATTAATAAATGAATAACTGAAATAAATCAACTAATTTATTATTTTTCTGCAACCCCCAATTATTTTGCTAGTTTTACACAGCACTGTATAAAAGCAGCAAATGTTTCATCTAACATTAAATTGGAAGTTTATAATAATCTATTGGTAGAAAAAAAATTAATCATTTCGAACTTCATGAAAAAATCCCCAAACCTAACCCAAACTCCAGAACCCAATCCCCAAAACTAAAAAACATACCATTGAAATATAAACCAGAATAAATATGTGCCATAAGAATAAAAATGTTTTAAATGATGCGTAAAATAATGCGTGGTGAAGATTTCCATTTCATCAACCCATATATGCAATTGCACAGTCAAAATACTTTTAAATCTTAATAACTATTAAAGAAAGTATTGGACTTGGGAATATCATAACAAAACTAACTGGTGTTCATTTACAGTATAAAGATAATTTAATTTCTGTGCAAAAATCAAAGTATAAAACTTCTAATATGTTGATATTACAACATATACTAAACATGTAACTCATCTGTTGAAGTTATTTCCAGATATGATTATTACTTAACCATTGGAAGACTGTCCTCCTTTATCTCCTTCCTTGAATTTTGTTATTGTTTAGTAAAAGTTGGGCATAACTGCTTAGTTTCTGAATAGTTTAGGAAACTGAAAACATGTTGGAAAGCACATAGTTACCTGGCCATAGGCAATACCACCGCTGGATAAGGATGCGCTCTGAAATAAAAACATAAATCAGATATAATGAACAAATTGTTATATAAATAAATATCTAGAAGTCATTGCTTTTTTCCTTAGAGGATGTGCACTTCAAACTGATTACCTCCAGACTTAAATAAATCTAGGGCAATAGTAAAGTATACTGAACTTGCTTAAAGATAGCTGAAGTAAAAATTTTCCAACATTCTACTACAGTCATAAGATTAATGTTGCCCTATCACAAATAGTTTACACTTACATATTACATATTAAACAAAATATATTTAATATTTAGGAATTAATAGAAATAATTATGTATTTAAACTTAAGCATATGATTAAGCAGTTTCTTGGCCAAGGCACTGGAGAGTTTGTTGTCTTTCTGATAGATTTTTTTTCACTTGCTTTCGTGATTTTAAAAGTGGAAAACATGCTTTCAGGTGAAAACAAAATAAATGAGATTGACAACAGCAATTTTTCTACTAATTGAAGTATTATTGCATTAATACACAAAATTTGTAAAAAAAAATCGCAAATAATACTGCACAACATGCAATATCCAAAGACAATTACTCTAACAGATAAAAAGCATTACACAGTAAGAATTTTGCTGTTTCAGTAGGCTAACAAATGACGTGTTTAGAACAGGTGATGGGTAGCGCCTGTAACACAAACAATCACACTTCGACGAAGTGACAATGTAACACCTTTTAATTTTGGTTTTTAATTTCAGAATAATACCTCAGACTACCACCATTTTCCTTAATATATTTAGGAAGAATAATATAGCTCTGAAGAAAAGAATCAAATGCAATAAGGAGATGGGCAAAGAAGCACAGTAGTAGACAATCAGTAAATATATATAAGCAACTTACATCTTGACAAGCGTGTTGACTATACGCATTAGCAGCGCCTCCCTAAGAAAAAAATGTAACCAGTTATTTCTCTTCTATAATTGCTTAAGAAGAAAAGACACACTTCAGACATCCTTGATTCTGACTGATCCTTAGGTAGAGTATGGAAAGAACAGATGATAAAGAGACTATTGTACTTGCCACTATTTATACATGAACACCCATGTGTGAACATATGAGCCAGGCACATTAGCCCTTTGTAAATTAGTGATTATCCAGTGGTACTTGGGAAACATTTTAGAACAGACACTGTCAAGACATTATTTTAATAGAAATAAATGATAAAGATTAATATAATGCTTGTAATTCAAGCATGTAATTCTACATATATATATATATACACATATATGTTAAAATTAAGAAGTGGAAATCAGAAGGAAACAAAAATTAATGCCTTTGGTTTTTAAAGTAAATCTCACTTATTATTAATGTAATCAATAGTCTCCCCCCCCAACTGTTATTTTGTTGTTTTTTGCAAAAATCCTGTACACATTGTGATGAATTTTACATTTTACAAGTACTGATAACATGAATGTTTTACATTTTTGCAAACATTGTCCTTGTTGATGCTGAGTCATCCCCATTTTTCTAGTTTGAAGTCACAACTGATAGTGCTTAGCAATAGAGCTACATGACTAGCTTATTTTTGTTTACCTAGTATACTATGAAAAACCAGCAAAAAACCCCCTGTCATTGATAAGGAAAGAGTAAACTTGACTGTTTCGTCTACCTTTCAGAAATTTTCTCATTTTTTATACTGAGTAAATGTTTGAACTTTGCATTAAAAAATAAAAATCTTATCTTGTAAATGTTGAAAGGGAACCTAAATAATTCTATATATTTGAATAAACCTTCAAATATTTTAGTCCCTACAGTTAGTCACCATCTTGATAAATACACTTCATCGAAGTTTTTGATCTATTTAGCACCACATTAGAGCACTCTTGCATCTTTGACCTATTTCTGGATGACAGGCTTGATCTGTCGAGGATACATAGCTTCACTAGTATCCCTGCTGCATGAAAGAATGAAAACCTGAAATAACCTTATTTATTGCAGATAATTGTGTGATTAATTCTGAGAGGAGGAAAAATTTAGAACATGCAGACCAATTCATAACAGTCTTGTCTGGGGTAGAAGGAGAGAATAGACAACTTGTATAATCAGTATAGTGTAAGTGCAACAGATAACCCCTTCCATTCATTTTTTTTTTTTTTTCCCATGATTTTATAATCTATTTGTTTCTGTTTAACTTTTTAACATCTCTGTTTGCAAACTACTTCATATTATTGAATAAATTGTAATATTTATCTTCTAGCTCACTCTTCATTATTTTCTATTTGCACAGAAACTCCCACATGAACACGCATATAAAAGAATGCAACCGAAGGCTAGGAGTTACTATGAATATAGTTATATTGGGGACAAAAAAGTAAATGTAAGAAAAGTGCTTACAGGACCACATCCACTCTTGCTTATTGTGTAGACTACCCCACTCTGAAATAAAAAGAGAAGTCAATTATTTCCATGCAAAAGCAAAAAGGTGGTGGAAGGCCAGAAAGAAAAAAACAAAAGCCCTGCTGTTTATGACATTAAAAGCTGTGCAGATGACCATGTGCACAGACAAATATGGGATAAGCAAGTACAGAGGTTACCAGCTCACTGGCAACTGGATGTACCAATTCTAATTTAGTATGAGACATTAGTAATCATCCAGATTTCTTATAACTTTGTTATTGGTCAAGTCACCTTTCAAAATCCACAAGTTGTTTTACTAAATGGTCCATATTTTAGAAAAATTTAGTAACTTCAGATAGTTAAAAGACAAGATGAGAAACTCAGCTCTTAGAAAATAATATGTATTATATATGAAAGAGAAACAATGAAGAAACTCAGTATCTAGCATACACATAAAAATAATTGGTATGTTTCAGAGTCTGGTAATTTCACTTACAAGTAGTGAATATTACCAGATAATTCACTAATAAATATAATCACTAGTAAGTAGTAAGAAATATAACCTTACTAAGCTCAGTTTGAGAAACTGGAGACAGACCAGAAAGCATCTGACAGTTCAAGTGCAAATAGGCACACTGTGGTAGGGGAGACAATTAACTAAAAAACAGGTATACATTTCTGTGATTAAAGAAGTGAAAATGATCAGTGAGAATGTAGGCACACATATCCCAAAAGTTTTAAAAGGCTAACTAGACAATGAAATCCCTGAATTTTCAACTGAAAATATAATCTGGTGTTAAAAGTGATACAGACATTATACTGGAGCTTTGACATATGTATGAATATCTGGTGAAGTTTGGAGAAATTTTGCAAATTTTTGTGGAGAAGACAGTGATAAATAAAATAAATAAGTAATAAATAAAATGAGGCCTTAAAAAAAAAAAAAAAAGAAAAATGCCCAATCAATTAATGATAAGTACAGTTCGTTTTCATTATCCTAGGTGTCTCTAAAATGATAAAAAAATGGTTTGTGTCTGTATTTACATGCACATGTGCATAGATAGGTAGGAATCCTCTAGGAAGGTGGAATTAATCTTTTTTTCCCTCAAAAGGGTCAATGCTTGTTAAAAATGCTTAATGTGTGAAATCAGAGATGGTGAAGCGTCTTGTAGGTACGAATACTGACAGCAAGCTACTGAGTTCAGCAGTGTGTAGGTAGCTGAACCTCGTCCAGGTACCGAACATACAGTTTACTGGATTAATAACTCTGGCATTCTACATTAACTAGCAGAGATGATATTTCAGTACAGTATTAAATCACCTCAGTACTCTGTAGTTACAGAATTTTAGTTGTTCAAGGTTACTAAAGGAAAACGTGCAAATGCTGGAAGTTAGGACTCTTACCTGACTGCCTGAATAGCTGTTCTGAGAGGAACCAGAGGGTCCAACCTGTAAAGAAACCAAAATGCTATTTATTATTTTGCAAAAAATTGATTTTTATATAAATTATTTTCAGGAAAGAAAGGTCTACTTGGTGGGAAAAGGAAGAACACAAAGTTTTCTGTGACTTCATTCCACTGATACTATTAAAATTATTTCAGAGATCTTTAATGCCAAATAATAAAAACTATACCAAAACAGCTGGTATAAATTAACATTAATCTGCTGCTTGTACCCTTTTTAATCTGGCCTCATACACTTGATGTTCATCATCGATGAGGAGACAGTGTAGTGTAGGCACTGTCAAGATCATTAAAAAGCAGATGAAAAATTTTACTGATGTGACTATGCAGTCACTAGACACTACGAAATGTAGGGCACATTTGCTGGGAGAAAGGAAAGAAGAAAAAGAGGTTTCTTCACTGAGATGCAAAGTGATATTTTTCAGAAAAAAAAAAAAACAAATAAATTTTAAATCTAGATCATGATTTGCAAAAGGCAATGTTTCAGAGCTGTTGAAATAAGTGATCTTGAAAAGCAAGCAAGCAGTATGACTAAAAAGTGAAGACAGAAAGAAGAAAACTTCTATTAGAAAATTATTCCAGATTAGCTAGAGAGAACCTTTAGGAGGAAATGGTAACAAGGCTGACAACCATTTGGAAAGTTTGGAATTTTAATCAACCAAGATAAATGGCCAAAAAGAAAAATACATTGAGCAACAAGAGGAATAAAGGACTAGAAGAAGCTTTTAACTAGGTCTTGAGATCTTGGGCAATCAGCAGTATGTCAATGTTTTTGAAGAAAGAATACTTACCATGATGCATCTGCCTTGTGTTGTGTAAGTCCCTCCACGCTGCAAGAAAGTACAGGTTCCAGTTACTGTTTATTGACTGGTGTATAAATACCAATTTTAAACAGGAAATCAACTGAATTCACATTCATGGTCTGAGTGAAGATGTCAAGTGTTTCGTTACTTACAATACCTTACACATTGTAACAATCTGATCTGAGAACTGATGTTAACTAATTAAAAATAAAAGTACCTTCAAAACTGTATACAAAATGTAAGCATAAATGAGATCTCACTAGGGAAGTAATTTGAATGGTATGATACATGCTACATGTACATGTGCTTCATGCTACAACCATGAAACACCTGCACCAGTAGGACAGGAATTTTAAATTTGAGGTAACTGAAATTTTGGAAATTAAAGAAAAATTATTCTTACCTTGTTACATTCTAATTCTATCATAAGCTGTGAGGAAAAAAATGAGGAAATATTTACAAATTACTTACTGGGAAAAAAAAAAAAACCAAACCTTATTATAGGAAACAGAAAATACATTTCGTGAAGCGAGGAACAAAAGAGAGGTGTTCACTCTTGGTTAGATAACATGATGACACAAATCAGTGTTGCTGCAGTCAAGAAACAATATGATAGACTTGAACAGACTTTCTTTACTTTAACTGACTGTCATGTTTAAAATGTTTCATATAAGCATAATTATTGGCCAAAAATAAACTCACTTCTAAGAACGTGCTACACAGCTATTGTTCCCAGGGAGTGGTGCAGCAGAATTAAGAACAGAACAGCACGCCATGAAGTACAGTAGAGTTCTCCTTATGAGCAATTTTCTTTTCTTTGTCTTTAAGCTACGTTTTTTTTTTAATAACTAGATTATTAGTTTCCTTATTTCTGTGGGGGAAGAATAGTATTTATTTTATTTTTTTCATCAATTTAGCAAGAGGATTAGGCAGTTAAATTAAAAGTGTTGAAAATATCTAATAATTTTGGCCATCTTAGTTAATGAATACATGGCAACAAATATATGTCTTGTGTCAAGTCAAAAATACAATTTATTGTCTTTATTTCTAGTATGCAAATACACTCAAAACATACCTTCCTTTTACTTTTTCCTGTCCCATTAACTGACTCAGAACGCATAGTTGTGAGAGTTTTGCTTTGAATTCCAACCCAAAATTTCTCTAGATCTTGAACAACAGTTGCACTGGAGAGAAAACAAAATAATATTTTTTTTCTATCAAAATATTTCAGTATAAAATACCAATGAAGTCTCCTCCCCCACCTCTCCAGCCATGAAAATCAATTCTAGTTTGATTTTAAGGTTATACAGTACAAGTTTGAAAAGAACATGATCAATTTCCAGAACACTTTTCCAGTTACTGTATTATCATCCAACATCATTTTGAAGATAAATAAAATAGATGCTGAGAAGAAGCAGAAGAGGAATTGGACACTATTTGAAGAAGCACTCATTCCAGTAAGGAGTATCAGCTCAAGTGTCCATAAAAATTGTCACACCTCTTTCCAGCTCTGACAATCTATATATCTATGATGGTGAACTGCTTTTCATGACATTAAAGAGGGGAAGTGATCATGGTTTTAATATGTGTACTTTTTCTCCTTTTTGTATTCCTCAGGAATACAAAAGCAAGGCCAAGATGCTCCTATCATAAATCTACACTTCAAACAATATCAAGATATTAAACATTTAGATATTTTTCAATTACATCAAGCATGCATTTCACTAGACCAGGTGATACTTTTACAAGCTTCTGGTCTGCAAGAAAAAAAGCATTAAACAGGAAAAATTTGTCTTCTCCTGTTTTCAGCAGTTAGTTCATGGGTCATAAACTCATTTTTAAATTTATCTTAAACCATTTACATCAAACCATTATTCTTCCACTGTTCAAAATGAAAAAAAGTTATAATTGAATAGAGTCTGAACTTTACTTATTCAAGGAACTAGTTACATTCATATTGTTGCTCTTGTAATTAAAGAGGTCAAAGTGTAAAAACTGGTTACTCAAAGATCCATTAATAACACTGTGCTTAATGGAATTATTTACATATATTAACATCTGTAGGACAGTGTTTACCTTTTATAATTATACCTTGAAATGGAAATCATGTTATGTGGGAAGTTGTGACAAACTATGAAAAACCCATGATTGTGGCAAGAGAAGAACATCAGACAGAAGCAACACAGATCCATGTCAAAATATTTCACAGAAATAAAATTCAAAGGCAAAAAAACCCTCCTCAAAATTATTTACATAAATTGAAGATCTTTAACATCATGTGGAGCAATCCATGTTGTTGTAATTTTCTGTTTCACATCTGAATTTGCATGACTTACTGCTGAATTCTGCAATTAAAAAGAAACATACATAAAATTATATAAGATGCAATGTGACTTTTACCTATATTATTAGGGGAACTGTCTCTACTACAACAGGAACACTGATGTCCTAAAAAGTGCCAGGTAGCTTCTAGATTAGATTCATATCACATATAGAAGGTACATGTATTTCTTGAGAAAGTCTATATTTTTAAACTCTACTGATGATATAACTTTGCCATAGAAATAATGCTCACTATTTCTATCAATTTTGATTAAAGTATTCAAAAGGAAACCAAGTTAATATAAGTATTCAAAAAAAAATTTGAATACATACCGTCCTGTTATGACATCCCAAGCCTTTAGTATTTGGATCTGTAATTTTAAAAGTACCAACAGGAACATCTCCTTCTATTTCTCGAGCTTGTAGATTAAATCCTTTAAAACCAACATCTTTAAGTGCTTCCAAACTCACTGTGAAAACAGACATTTTGAAAAATTTAAATTTCATACACAACTAAAACCTCTTACATGTTTAACAACTAATTTCCCTTTTATCCCTAATTTTCACTCCAAAGCACAAGACTGCATGTACAGAAATTACTTAAAACCTTTTACAACATTTAAAAATGCTGGGATTTATTAGAATATTAATTAATTATCAAGAAAATTACAATAAAGGAAAAGGAAGAAATTTGGAGAGGTATGAAATAAATGATTTATTGACAATTTTAAAAGTAATTCTGCTCTACCAAATGACTATGACTTTCTTGTTAATCTCATTTGCCCCCCACGCATACTCAGAATATTGACCAGTGGCCCTGCTGACCAAAAGCTTTTTTATTTTCTCTCTAATTAGGCCTACAAAGTCAATAGCTATGGGAGAAAGAGAATTGTCTTTCTTTCTACCTCTGTTTCAAAATAAGAGATTAACTCTTGCCTAAGGCTGAATTGCAGAACCATTTTTTTTAATGTGTTACAATTGGAAGAGAAACTACACAGTTTGGCTCTCATGTTCTATATTAAACATGAAAAGTTAATAATTATGAACTACTCAATTTTACTCAAATTTTGCTACTGAAGAAGCTCAGACAAGTATGGAAGACAGCAGGCTGCGTTTTCTACATATCCAAATTGACACTGAATTTCAAGAGGCATAATCAAATTTGTTATGATCTATTAAAACTTGCTCTGCTGATGTCAGTATTAGGTACATTTGCAAATAAAATCAGAATAACAGTTTATGCCCAGAGGTACATGTGCTCATTAAAAATAAGCACAGATAAACTGGGAATGACACAAAAGTCAAGGCAAGGACCAATCATACCTTGACAATTTAACATTTCCAAACACCTGGATAATTAGCCTTCCAATTTGACATCAACTTTCAGTCCTAATTCACCAATTTTCACAGGTCTCACAAAAGGGGTGACATCCTACACTTGAATGTAGTGTTAAATCAAGCACAGGTAAGAGTTTTGGCACATGGCATGCCATAGATGAAACTGCAACATGCTCAATCAAAGGGCAACCTAATGCAGCTCCCTAAGACCAGGCACTGGATGCTTACAATTTGAAGCAATAGAAAAAAAATGCTAAAGCGAGAAAAAAAGGAAATGGTTAGGGAAAAAAAAAAAAAAAAGGGGGGGGTAGAGAAGGCAAGGTTAGCAGCATCTAGGATTCAATCTTTTTGTTATGATAAATCTCATATAACCTCACAGAACAGTCTGCCTATACTTAAATCCATCCATCATTTTGCAGGCAATACCGTTTTAAAAATAGCTATCAGTAATCAGCCTTCCCATCCTTGAAGGAGCTATTCATACATGTTTTTTTTCAAGAATGGCAGCTATACTAGGACTCTGACACTCCTCCATTTTTCTCCCTACATACCACTCTCCGTGGAAGCACATCCATGCTACTAGGTTCACATAAAACAGAATCCCAGCTCGACAGCAGCTACTCAGTGAATAATGCCCTTTTTCAGCTACTGAGATACAACCATGGACATGTGATGGGTTACAACTCACTTCCATGTCCATGTTTCTTCTAGCAAATGGCTAGGAAAAGAAGCATTCACAAGCCTTTTAAAGTGTGACAGCACCATGAGATGGCATCATATTGTGGAGAAACAAGGCTGTCAAAGTGTTCCATCAGAGAGCAATCTGGGATTAGGAAAATAAAAAGGTGGTTTAAACCACAATAGCTTCGCCTCCTGCAATGTGATAAAATCTGGGATGCAGCTCTTAGAACGATGACTCAAAATGTGTCACTCTCGAATTGTCCTACAATGCATCTTGAATTTTTATTTTCCTGTAAACTGACAGCATGTGAACATCTAATGAGTAGGATCCCTTTGTACTGCAGAGGCTTGATACAACAGCAAATTCTCAAATATTAAGTTAAAGAGCAAATAATTATTAGTCCAGTTTGGCTAGCTGTCACATTTCATTTTAATTTTGTCACAGAAATTATAGCATGAAGTTAAGATATATTTATTAGATAGGAAAAAGAAAAACTGATATATTTTCAGTTTTACAAATATTAACATACATATGTATATAGAAAATATTTCAAAAAAGATTAATATCTCAGGTATAGATGAACAAGATTGAAATTAAAAAATAAATTTAACTAGACTGAGAGGGAAATAGAGGAGTTTTGGTGAAGAATGATAATTCTGGGAGACACAGATAAAGATTTTATGTCATTCAGATTATTTACCTTGGATTTCATTTCCTGGCTCAAAGTTATCAAAAGATACAGCAATAATATATGGTGGTGCAGATGTCTGTGGTTCAGCTTCATAGTTTGGTAACAGAGAATCACAATCAATTGAGGTATTTGTCTGTGGAAAACCAAGGATTCCAGGCAAAAATATCCCACAGAACAAAAAAACAAAGCAGGAGTGTCTCCTCATCTGTGGAACAAAAGAACAATATAGTTTATAGGAACTTCTTTTTAGGAGTTGTCATGTTTGACAAATATCTGCTTTTCTCCAGGGTAGAAATCTGGGCTTTCAGTGTATCCATATATTTTGAAGAAAATAAATTAAAATAAAATACCTATATACACTGGCAGAACAGTGCAATAAATAACACAAATATTTCCAATTTTAAATATTGAAATATTAATGGAAGTTTAAATTCTCTGGTTACACGACAACAATCCATTAACAGCCATGTCTGCTGTATTAGGGCTTTGGACTAGAAAAAGCTTTAAACAATCTTTCTCCTTGTTGTGCTGGCATATTTAGCTCAGCTCCTTTGTTATTCACTAAGACACAATCTTACGTGTCTCAAACTGTTTTTTGTAGATACAACCATGATTAGCACCCTCTCTTTTGACTGCTTTGCTTAATTCCACTTCCAAGAGACAGCCAAGAAATCTATTGTTAAATGCCCTAGAGAACTCTTGGAAGTTTTTGAAAATATTTGTTTCCTGAAGACCTTAACAAAAGACTTCTGCAAAGTTGTTTGGAACTTCTAAACAATTTTAAACTACTGAATTGTTTGTGCATGCTTTCTATGGGTTAAGAATAAATTATACCCAGTACAGAAATTCACAAAAATAACTAAGTGGCAGGACTGAAGTCCAATTTTCAAGGATTGTCAGTGGAAAGAAACTACAGGATTGCCTTGTGTGATACAATAGGCTGTAACAAAAAGAATGGAGATATTTAACTGAGATTTCTTTAAAGCATTTTAAACATAACATGAGAGATATGTTCAATTTGTATCATCTACCTGTGTATCTTAATTTGTGTATGAATGTGTTAAGACCATTCGGTTTTGTATATGCTAATAAAATAAGTAACAGAAACACCTGGAAGCAGGGGAAAAACTTCAGAACACAATTCCAAACACCCACATACTTAACTCTGAACTTAACTTTTTAAAAAGCCACTGAGTCAACAGATAACAACAAAACAGGTGACTGTGAAATGTTGAAAGATTTCCTATAGGAAGATGATGAAGGTTTGCATAGTGTCACAACCAGTAAGTGCAGCAAGCAGGAAAGCTATATGTGCACGTTATCACGTCTTTAAAGCAGATGAAGGCTATTCCTCCCAAAAATCTCATGAAAATGTCACTTAAATGGGATCCTGGTAAGCATTACGTTTTGGTATCAGTGCGCTGGGTGCGGTTATCCAATCTCTTGTGACGATTTTGACATGGCCCACCTCTAATTAAATTTTAAATACAGCATGTAGGTGCTATTATATTAACAGATGTGGTAAACAGTGATTTAATATGAACCAGTCTATGTGTTGTTGAAATCTTTGTCTGACTCATGGAGAGATGGAAAAAAAAAATCTGTTTCTAATTAGATGTTCTATTTCAAAGCACCGAGTCCTTAGCACTAGTTCAGCTGGGATTGGAAAATTGTCTGGAGCTGCAGTCTGCCACAAAACAGTCTGAAACCTCCTTTCCAATTTTTCTAGCTAGAAGAGAGCCAGAAACACAATCACAAGTTGAAACACGGCTGAGATGCCTTTGCTTTGCATCAGCTCACTGATTTAACAGTTCATGAACTATTCTAAGAGTATCTTTGTGCCATCCTTTGGAATCGGGTTTTAGGTGAGGAACAGAAACATAGTAGCATCTTACAAAATTCCAAGTTCATACTTGAGGTAGAATCAGAAAATAATTTCTAAGGACCCCGAGTTCCAATACATACTCAATGCAATCATGTTACCTTGCATCACAAATTTACATTTTCTCCATGAAAAATGTAAAGAAACTAAAAGTACATACTCCTAAAATGAAGCATATGGAATTCTGGGAAAAAAAAAAATCTGCAAGCTTCTGATTTGATATAATTATGAAAAATTAACTGTATCCTCAGTTCCTTCACCTGATGGAAAAATTCTTTTTTTAATCACAAATACAATCCATTCTTCCTATAAGCCTATATGGCCCTCATCTTTGCAGTACCTGAGTTGCTACCTTAGGAATCCTCTTCCACACCTAGTCTAATACGACTTCAGGCCAACAATTAAATCTCTGGGTGCTAGTTAGCTACTGCATTCAAAGTCTAGTGGAATTGGGAAGAGACACTTTGGTGGCTTGCTTCTCCAGAGCCTTGGGCAAACTTCTGAATAGAGACAAAAGTTGTTTTAAAAGCCTTTAAATATAGAGCATTTAATTAATATGATAAACACTTTTCTGTAATTTGAAAAACAGTCCTGGCAAGTCCATCCTGCCAACAGTTTAAGACTCAGTCCTGTATACCCCTTTCCAATCCCAATCTTTATGAGTATTTTTCTCCTTTCTTCTCTCCTCCTAGATGTTCTTGATGAGCCACAGACTTACTCTTCAGCCTCACCAGCTAGCGTGCACCCTGTCCCACATCCCCACCAACACACCTTATCAACCGAGTGCTGATGTGTGGGCATCCTCCGGTCCCTCTATGGTCAGTGTGGAAGAGCTGCAACCAGGCAGCGCGGGTGCCCCAGCAAGATGAGAGAGAGGAGGCGGAAGGTTCAGCCAATCGGCAGCGAGGTGGGGAGCTGGCGCGGCCAATCAGGGCCGGCCGTGCTCTGCCCTGGAAATTAGGACACCGCAGGTGGGACACTCCTGCCCAGATGGGGCGATGACAACACACACTCCTCACAGGTGAATCATGCCCTCTCTGACCTTTAACTAGGCATCTGGGATAGGTAAGGCTTCTGAAGGTTGATAGCCTAAACTAGTATGTTGACTAAAATCTACAGAATTATACTATAGAAAAGACTTACTAATATTTCATGAGCAGTTTCTTTAAATATTCTACACTAGTCTGTGTAATTCAACCGCAGTATTCTGCTGCTAGTTTTTCACTTTTTTACTCATTTCTTACAGTTGGAAAAGACATGGAGAATTCCAGTCATCATAATACTACCAAGCATTTTCTCAGAGCAAAGAGTTAATGAGGCTGTTTTATCTCATATACCTTGTGGGAAGGATCTGAAGTTATTGTTTTTTTTTTTTTTTTTCTCTTCAGTAATATTTTCACAAGGTCTCTACTGAAGATTGGGAGAAGTCCAAAAGCTGGATGACACACAGTATAGAATAGAGTATTTTCAGAAGCTGGATGACACACAGTATAGAATAGAGTATTTTCAGTTGGAGGGGACCTACAATCATCTATGTAGTCCAACCGTCTGACCAATTCAGGGCTGACCAAGTTGAAGCATATTATTAAGGGCCAAATTGTCCAAATGTCTCTTAAACACTGCCAGGCTTGGGGCATCGACCACCTCTCTAGGAAGCCTGTTCCAGTGTCTGACCACCCTCTCAGTAAAGAAATGCTTCCTAATGTCCAGTCTAAGCCTCCTCTGACACAGCTTTGAACCATTCCCACAGGTCCTGTCCTTGGATCCCAGGGAGAGGAGATCAGCACCTCCCTCTCCTCTTCCCCTCCTCAGGAAGCTGTAAAGAGCAATGGGGTCTCCCCTCGGTCTCCTTTTCTCCAAGCTAGACACACACAGACTCCTTAGCTGCTCCTCACCAGACATTCCTTCCAGCCTTTTCACCAGCTTTGTTGCCCTCTGCGGCGGGTGGAGGAAGCAAGCAGCCGATTCAATGTGAATGATAGAGCAAGCTTCAACTGTATTGATAGAAATCACAACTTATATAAGCAATCTACAATACACTACTTGCAACTCTATTGGATACATTTAAGAAACTACATTATAATATCTCAGCCATTGGGTACATCTAACAGGTCACATTATAATACCCCAGCCCCCTGTGGCATTTCTGGTATGCATAAACATCTTTCTTGCTGTGAACCTGCTTCTCTCCCAGGGCTGCCTTTCTCTCACCCCCAAGGTCATAATGCACCCCAACTTATCTCTGTGTTCTCACAACAATCCTCATTAGCACAACTGAGCCCTGGGTCTTCATCCTTGTTTACATAACTGTACCCTGGGTTCTTTCCTTTGTTTACCTCAGGTGGCTGGGACTGATTCCTGCAGGGAGCTATGGCCGACCAGCTCCTGCAAGGAGCTATGGCCTTGCTCTCTGCAAGCCGTTCTCCAACAGCCTTCCTCTGGATGCATTCAAGGAGCTTAACAATATGACAGACATTTCTATTTAACCAGGGAATACCAAGAAATACATGAACCAAAGACTGTTCGCAAGAAATTTATTCAACTTCTTGATGTTTGTGCATTTAAAATGTACTTAAAATTCAAAATGCTGATAGCATTTTAAGTACATTATCTATTTTTAAGATTTTGTGTATTTAACTAACTGTATTCTCTTTCAGTTAATCACCTTTAATTAATGAGTAGCGTTTTATTTACAGTATTCCATTATGAAAGACATTTACTTCCTATCTGCTGCTATCCATTGGAGAAGAGATCATAATCTTTCTTTACTTACTGTACCACCAAACTAACCATTGATACCAAAGTTATAAATAGCAGTGAAAAAGCACAATACACACCACAAATGCAATAGCATACTAGCAACATGGTCAAATAAATGACATAGTAAAGGAATGTCAACTGGTTGCACTAGAAACACATAAAGAGATGGGATCTTACAAATGCATATATGCAAGACCTCCTTCACTACCAGCTAGGAGTTACTGAGAGGTAACCAGAGGGATTGGAATTATCACTCCAGGCTATTCTGAGCAGCAATGAGTGAGCACTCCATGAATACTTGGTTTGACAGGCAGATGTATAAATGCCAGGCAATGAACTGCTGTAATCTCAGTAATATTATGGTTATAAAGAAGCGTAGATAAGACAAGCAATATGCTCGTGCTGGCTGTAACACCAATAAAATACTATATTGAATAAGCTGATAAAAACTCAGACCATTACTTTACAATGAGAGTTGTAAACCTGCTGCCCCAGCTCTTACACAAGATTGCTTGCAGTTTATTTCAAAGGAACAGTCTTTCCACTGAATCAAACACAGGACACATATTCAGTATTAATTTAGCTGTATTCCAGAATTGCCAGTTAAAAAAAAGGTCTTTTTCATGTCTCCACACTTGAAAGGACAATTTTGAGATCAAAAATTAAATACCGACTGAACCAGTGGCGAATTCCTGACTCTGGTGAAACCAAGATTACAGAGTTTGCTATGTACTGAAACTACCATGCAAGTGCAGCTCAAACCTATGCTGTATGCACGTGGACTTCCCTGGTGCTTGGAATTCCTTCAACTGCATATTGCTGTGGGAATTTTAGCCACCTTCTTTTAGATATCTGATTGTGTGGTAGCCCATATAGAGTTAGCTGGTCTTTCTTTAGAATAATCACATATAGACTTGTGCCACCAAGGGCAAGTCAATTCATTTTAGGAACCAGCCAGGGAACATGGAG